GGGTCTCCAGGATCGCGCCCTGGGCCAAAGGCAGGCGCCAAACCGCTGCGCCACCCAGGGATCCCTAAAATATTTTTTAAAAAAGAATGTATGTAAGACCAAAAGGCTCCCTGAAGGTTTCTTCTGCCACATTTCTCATCTGACTGCTTAGTACAGCATAAAATTTAAGCCCAGCTGATCAGAAGCAGTCTCGCGAGACTCTGAATCTTAAACTGACAACATGAGGATAGAAGAAATTACTCTTTATTTTTCTCAGGTTTGATGCCCTTACAAGATGTTTCTTGGCTAGGAAGCTACCTGTATGGTTCCTGATTTGTAGACCTCTTTTTTTCAAGCCCTATTCTTTAACCTTCCCATAACTTATATGAGTTCCCCAAACTCTTTCCACCAATTCCCTTCCCCTTGGGTAACCAGAACTGACAATATTGTCAATTTAAAGACATTTTGTTTGTTTCTGGCTACCAAAGAACCTTTAATGAAACATTGTGCCAAGCACTGACTGTATCGCAATTGACAAGGCAGACAAGAATTCTGCCATCATGAGGCTCATGTATGAGTGGGTAACATCGGTTTACTTAGCACTAAGATAAGAAACCCTAGGGATGCCTAGGTGGCTCAGTGGTTGAGCATTTGCCTTTGGCTCAGGGCGTGATCCCGGGATCTGGGATCTAGTCCCTCATTAGGCTCCCTGTGGTGAGGCTGCTTCTCCCTCTGCCAATGTCTCTGCCTCTATCTCTCTGTGTGTCTCTCATGAACAAATAAATAAATCTTTAAGAAATAAAAAAAAAGAAATCCTAGATAAGGGTCACCTGAGTGGCTCAGTGGTTGAGTGTCTGCCTTTGGCTCAAGTTGTGATCCCAGGGTTCTGGGATCGAGTCCTACATTAGGATCCCCTCAGGGAGCCTGCTTCTCCCTTTGCCTATGTCTCTGCCTCTCTCTGTGTGTCTCTCATGAATAAATAAAATCTTTAAAAAAGAAACCCTAGATAAGGAAGTCAGCTATTGCTTTCATATACTCTGTATTGTAGACCATTCATTCATTTACCCATGCATATGATGAATATGTATGGTATCAGATATTCTAAGAATGAATTTAATCCATCTCTTTGTTTTGTCTAATCAACAGAAGTATAACTAGGTCCTTTCTCCATTGCTTCAAACTCATCATGTCCCCTAAATACTTGAGGGTCAGGATGAGAAAGACATCGATTAACCATAGGCTTGAGCCGTCAAAGATACAAGCCTTACCTCCTCTTACCCTTCCAACCACCGACCCTCCCATATTTCTGGGTTCAGGGAGGTGGACCATCTGGACCATCACACATGGTCACCATCACCTTTGGGATTTCTGACAAAACGAGTAAAGATTCAGGTACCAGGCAGGAGCTTCCTCAAACTTGGTCCAGATACAGTTTAGTACTGTTTAGCATTTTTGGGCTTGCCCACAGGGTGTCTAAGACATAGCAGAGAATAAGAAGACAGAGCCCATACCCTGAAGCTCCAAAGGGCTTTTGTAGATTTTTTGGCTCCTACTTCATACAGAGCATTTGCCTGTGATATTGAGAAATGAGATCCTGCCTTACCAAAGCTGCCCCCTTCCAAACCTAGAATACTCCATGTTGGGCTGGCGAGACTGGGAACCTCAAAACAGCCACCCCAGGCTGGCAACCTCCCAATAATGCTGCCTTGCCGCCCCACCCCCATCTTCCCACCAATGCTGCCTTGCCACCCTACCCTAACTTAGTTTACAAGACCTGTAACCCTTGCCGTAATCATAATGCTGCCCTGCCCCCATCTTCCCGCTGAAAACTTTTTTTTTCAATGTACAATTTATTTATTTTTATTGGTGTTCAATTTGCCAACGTATAGCATAACACCCAGTGCTCATCCCGTCAAGTGCCCCCCTCAGTGCCCATCACCCAGTCACCCCCACCCCCCGCCCACCTCCCTTTTCACCACCCCTTGTTCGTTTCCCAGTGTTAGGAGTCTCTCATGTTCTGTCTCCCTTTCTGATATTTCCCACCCATTTCTTCTCCCTTCCCTTATATTCCCTTTCACTATTATTTATATTCCCCAAATGAATGAGAACATACACTGTTTGTCCTTCTCCGATTGACTTACTTCACTCAGCATAATACCCTCCAGTTCCATCCACGTTGAAGCAAATGGTGGGTATTTGTCGTTTCTAATGGCTGAGGAATATTCCATTGTATACATAGACCACATCTTCTTTATCCATTCATCTTTCGATGGACACCGAGGCTCCTTCCACAGTTTGGCTATTGTGGACATTGCTGCTAGAAACATCGGGGTGCAGGTGTCCCGGCATTTCACTGCACCTGTATCTTTGGGGTAAATCCCCAACAGTGAAAACTCTTTATAGCCCCCCCGCCCCGCCCCGCGGTTTGCCTGGGCATGACTTCCCCCAGCCCGAGACTTCCCGGCTCTCTCCCTCCCCTGTGGGCTGTGGAACCTCGCCCGAGAGCGCGTCCCAGTAAAAGCCTGTTTTGACCAACTTTGGCCTGGCCTCTCTATTCCATTTCACTACCGATCGGATTAAACCTGACACTCCACCTTCAGCTTGACTAGACACTGCATCAGTTCCTGCCTGTGAAGCACTACTCTTCACTGTATCCTCCCTACTTCGATCATTGGCTATTCTAGTGTGTGTATCTGGTCTCCTCAAGTGGATGGTAAGCTGCTGGAGGTAGTGACCTATGGATGACATGTCTAAATCTTTCTCTCCATATTATGGCTCAGTGAATACTTGGGGGTGGATTGTTGATTGAAAGCAGCACAAAGGTTCTAGGGTCTCTTTTCTATAATCATGCAGGCCTGCCTTCACACAACGTCAGCCATTTTGTGGGCCCAGGAAGAGCAAACCAAAGGATGCCCAAAGGACGCTTAATCAGTGTTTTCCCTAGAATTTCAAATTGTCTAATTTGTGGAAAACCCATGTTTTACTAATTAGTAGGAGGAGTCATGACAGGAATCATGAACTTTTCTATGAAATAAGGTTTCTGTTCTTGACAGCATGTCAGGTCATTAGAGACAGGCTGTATATTCATCACTCCAGCAGGAGCAGAACAGTCAGGGGCACTTTCACAGCCAAAATGATTCTCCAAGTCAAAGCATTTGCAGAATGTATATATTTATAGATTTGTTCATTATATTGAAGTCCTGTCCCTAAATTTGTTTTCAAATGAAGGTGAAAATATTGTCAGTTCAAAGACATTTTCCAACATTCAAGACACAATTTTTTCATTATTTATGTTAGTCCTTTCACACACATATGCACACTCACACACTCACCTTCTCTTACAAAAAAGTACACATATAGACCCACAGATAACAATCGTTGTGAGATTACCTCAAAAACAAAATTTCATAGGCAAGGGAACTGACTCTGAGGCAGGTATCTGGAGGCCTAAGGGCCTGCCTACTTTTTTTTTTAATGTTACTTCAGATGGTAGAGGGGACAAAGGGGAGTCTAGGAGCTTCATACCAGTGCCTGGCGCCAGTGCTCTGGTCTATTTCGTAGTCAGCATTAACTCTTGCTTACCGGATCCAATGTGATACCACATCCAATGGGGAGATATGGCAGGTGGGCCATGAAAGGGTGAGAGGTAAGTGGATGTGCATTGTAAAGAGAAAGTGGTTAAGATTTACTGTGTTTCACTGTATTAGAAAATGCGTAGACTTCATGTAAGTCTCATTTGAACTTTATAATGAATGTGCTATTACTGTTATTTCCCTGAGTCTCAACTCTAAGAAGTGACAAAGCTGGGATTTGAACCTAGCTCTGCTGTTGCCCCAGCCCACTAGCGGTACCATATGTATTCCCAAGGATTATGGGGGATTTGATTTATGGTATTGAAACCCAAGAGTTCACTTTTCTTTCTCATTGGAAAGGTCCAGTTGTCCATATTTATGTATGTATTCATTCATTTATTGTATAAAGAGTAATATATTCTCTCAATACAATATTCAAAGATATCAAGAGGTAGAGGGTGAAAAGTATGTCTCCCTTCTTCCCAGATACCCAGTTCCCCTTCCTGAAGGCAACCACTGATAATCAGTTGCTTGTGTATCTTTCCAAAATGTTCTTCTCCATACTTCTTGCTACCCAAGGCCAAATGTGAGCAACCTGCCTAGCTAGGAAGGCTCAGTAGCAATATTTGGGAGAGAATTAAGAAGGCCACGCACTATGCTTACCCACAGAGCAAAAAGCAGGCAGAATTCATCCTCAGCGCTCACTCTGTTGCCTCTGGGTGACTCTTTTTCACCTCTATCCCGGCACTGTCCAGTTCACCCTGACTTGTCCTTTCCTCCCTAAGGAGAACCACCATCTTCAAACAGCTCCTGTTCTGTCACATTCCTCAGAACCCTGCTTGCTGTCCCCTCAGGGACTGTCTTGGCTAAGAAATTCATCCCCACTAAGGAGTTCACTGGTGTCTATGGATTGATGAGCCACCCTTTTCACAAAACATGTTTACATGTCAACAAGGGGATTCAATCAAAGAGTGACTTGAATAATGGGGATTTCAGATGCTTTGTCATGACAGGCCAACAGGGTATTTTTTTTTCCAGAAGGTATGACCTTGTGACTCTTTCTACTTTCCCCTGTGGGTGTCAAGCTCACTGGATATCCGAAAACTTTGGCAGCCTTAAATTATTTCATTCACAGTGCAGTGAGGACCCTGAACCTGATTCTTTTCTTTCAGGATGGGACATTTAGAATTTTTGAAACAAAATCTCCAGTACTGTAGACATGCGTCCCATAATATATTATAACCATAGGCTCAAATCTCATCTGGAAAAAGAAAGAAACAGCTATAACAAAGAATAGGAGAAATCTTCTGACTTTAATATCCACTAAATGCTATTTCACTCTGCTCCTTCCAAAATAATATTTAGAATACAAAGTTGGAACAGATGACTTCACAAACTCAACATTTTCTCTAATCTGGAGCAGGGGGAGGTGGGTATCTCTGCTGGGAATTATTCAAGAAATCTCTGTTTGTGAGTGGAATTCATTTTGACTTCCACAGGTAATATTCTTCTCACATAATTAGGCACAACTTCGCAACTCAAGGGAGAGAAACAGTAGGGATCTTCATCAAAGTCACCTGCGTTAAAGAAAGAAAAAGGACATTCTCAGCAGTGGCACTGGGGATTTCACAGATAGTAGAAGCATCAGATAATTTTTACCAAACGAAGGAGTGAATAAGAGGAATTAGGAAGTAAAGGTTGTGGTGTTTTCCTTGGGTAGTTTCTACAGATCCAGAGTAAATTCATTCATCCTGACAGCACCGTTTAGGCAATCACAAGTGCATATGTTCTTCCTGCATTGTTAATAACAGGCTGTGTTATTCATAGTAACCTTGACCTAGGGAAGGATATTCATGGACAAATGTTGAATGCCTTCAGGAAGGGACCACACAAACTGGTGACACACACATATCCACAGCCCCTGTGAATCAAATATTCTTGCTCAGAAGCCTTAGCTGTTTCTAAAGCCTGAGAGTGCCCAGTGGTACAGAAGGCAAGCTTCACTCTATGCTAATGGAAATTAAGCTGCCTGGCTCTGACTGTCTGTTGGCAACATCCAGACTGCAGATTTAGAACCTCTGGCCCAAGAGGCTAGACTACCTCCCCCACCAGCCAGGTCTTGGTCACAACTTCAGGCCCCTCAGCTCTCTGGATCTATTGCTTGGTACAACAACATTAAAGTACTGGGCATGGGGATACCTGGGTGGCTCAGCTGTTGGGAGTCTGCCTTCGGCTCAGGGTGTGATCTTGGAGCCCCAGGATCAAGTCCTGGGATTGAGTCCCACATTGGGCTCCCTGCATGGAGCCTGCTTCTCCTTCTGCCTGTGTCTCTGCCTCTTGGTCTGTGTGTGTCTCTCATGAATAAATAAATAAAATCTTTTAAAAAAAATCCTGGGCATAATATTAAAAACAACCCTAAAATCCTGGGCACAGGGGGCTACCATCTCCCCCCTGAGGAAAGACACGTACATTCAAGCCATATATTTGCTAATGAAACAATATCCCTCAGGGACAGCAGGAGAGCCAATACTAATTAACCCTTGCGCAAAACTAGTTCCCTATCAGCTTCAACTATTCTCTACTAAGCAGCTTCCACAACTCCTGCCCTCTGTTATATGCTATGGCTCCCCCGTGCCTCCATATGAGCAGCAGAGCATATCGGCAAGTTAGCTGGCCAGAGTGATAGACACTTGTGGGCATGGAACGAGTCTTTCCATACACACCAACTTCCCCATACAGAGAAGGAGCCTGAGACTGCACATAGGCCAGTCAAGCCTAAACTAGGAAACAATGCTGCCCCACACAGTCCTGAAGCTGGTAGGCACTTTGGAGATTAACCATCCATCCTAGCATCCTCATGTTGAAGGTAGAGATAATGCAGCTTCGTGTAGGGGAGTGATGTGCCCTAGGTCACAGACTTAGTGACAGAGCTAGGACTTGAACCAAAGGACCTGAACCTTCATTTTTAAGAATGTTTATTTATTATTATTTTTTTATCATTTAAGTAATCGCTACACCCAACATGGGGCTTGAACTCATGACCCTGAGATCAAGAGTCCCATGCTCTGCCAATCAAGCTGCCAGGTGTTCCTTGTTGCCTTTATTTTTTTTTACTCACCATGCTGATTCCAGATTGGCCACAGCCCTTGGAAATAGAACTGCTGTGTGGAATCAGCATGATGTAAAATACAAGCAGATAAGGCAATTCTACCACCGGCAATGAGAAAGTGTGAGAATGACAACAGTCAGGCCACCAAAGGTGTTCTAGATGTGTGAACTGGAATCTACTTTGGTCCTTAAGAAAGGCAACCAAAGGTCACTGCACCATTGTCCAACTGGAAGTACACAACACAGAGGCATCACAACATAAGTCTGAGTTCCTAAGTCCTTGTTCCCTTTGCCTTTCTCTTCACTTTGGGCCTTTAGATCAATCCTTTCCCTACATTTTTTCCCTCCCAATACCCACCTCCACCTCAACAACTGCCTCTGTACCTAAAAATCTGGCTTCCTGTGGAAAAAGCTGAGCCTCTAAGAGTGTCGTGCAGCACATTTGGTGCTCTTGGTGGTTGGTGTGTGATGTGCGCTAGCCTGAGAGCCAGGAAACCTGAGTTCTGGCCCTAGTTCTGCTGCTGATGGTGAGTGAGTGGCCATAGGCATTTTCCTTTCCTCATTTAAGGTTCCTCATCTGGAAAACAAGATCACACTAGACATTGTCTAAGGTTCCTTCTGGGTTTAACCATCTCTGACAACTGTTTTGAATTACACATGAATTTGTTTTGACCTTTAGTCTCTTCCCTACTGCCTGAGTCTAATAACCCACCAGGTTTGCACATACTAAGTTCACTAGGTTCTTCTATATGCGTGCTCTCAGCCAGGAATGAGCCCAGGTATATACATGCACATGTGCTTTTAGTTTTGAGGAGGAAGGATTTCCCAAGACCATGTATGTGGCCTCACATTAATTCAATATTTCTGGAGTGTAAATGTAGACAATGTAGCTTTTTGCTCACCATTTGGAAAGCATATTTCCGAAAGAGTGCATTGTGCAGAGCCTAAAGATTTCAAAGTGGAACTCGTCATAGTTGACTTGAGGGATGGTGTCAACAATTTGTTCTGGAAGGTTTTCTTCAATCTCTCTTGTTTATACCCAACATGTAGCCCACACCTGCTGTCCCTGTCTGAAATGACACCAGAAAAATTAAAACCATAAAACCCATCACATTCTATACTTAACATGGGAGAATTGTATGATGTGTAAATTTTACCTCAATAATCCTATTAAAAACAAGCTTAATGCACAGAGCATCTGTTCTAGGTACCTCAAGGAGTCAGTTTCTCTATGAAGTTGTGAGAAGTAGATTCATACTGTGATGTGTGATACAGGCAGAGCTAATTCATTTACCAAGGATGCCTGCTCTCCTTAGAGCCTGGCACAGGAACCAGCAGGTTACTGACATTCCCAGCATAAAGGAGGGAAATCTCTGTGCTACTTACAGCATAAAGGAGGGAGATTTCTGTGCTACTTATAAAATCTTCAAGTTCAAACATTTGCCTTCCCTAGAAGAAACAGACTGGGCTTTGCATTGAGACTGAGAGAAGCCCTCTGAATTGTATGGAAGAGCCTTTTGATACATAGAAAATCCATTTGCCTGGACTATTCTCAGAGGCAGCACCGGGGTTCACCACATCTCCTGCTGTGCAGGATGGTCCATCACTCCATCCAGCAAGGCTTCTCCACTATTGCTCCTTGCTTCCCATATCCATTCAACTCACTATTGGCTATAGGCCAGAAAGCCCCTGTGACCCAGGGCCTGAAACACAGTAGGGCACTCAATCAACATTCTTTTTAATTGAGTTGAGATTGAGGTGACAGCCAGGACAAGCAATCCAAGGAATCTGGGCCAAAAGAGAAGCTTCACTAAGTTAAAATATGGCCCAAGTCACATTCCTCACTTGACTTCATTCATCTCAGCACAGAAGTACAAATCATTTTCATGACGTGGAAACAGCCTCCACTTTGATACCAATGCTCTCTGAACTCAAGTCAGGAGACAAGTTAATCAGATCAATTGTGTGAAACCTCTAAAATTCAAAACCTTACCCAAACTGGCATCTTACCAGAAGAGTTATCCAGTCGTAACCACCCACAACAGAAGTGTATCTGCCACTGCTCCCGCACACTCTCCTTCATTACGCAGTAAAACATGAAAATGAGGAATCCTAAGTCAAAAGAAGGTCAGTGTGTTTCAGCTTCTTTTGCCAGTGGCCACCAATGCCCAGACCCAGGTCTACTCTTATTACCATAGATACTCCTGCTAAGGAACCCCAGGGCCATTATGGCTTTCTGAGTTCATCTTTCTAGCTTCCCTCTCAAAGGCAGTGATGATAAGAAGGTATGTATCAAGACTTCATATCAACCATAGTTTCCCCCCTGGGCTACTGTCTATTCTAAAGTTTGAGAGAGCAGCCCTGCAATGGTAGTCTACCTCTGAGATGGCTCTCAATGATCCCTACATCTTGACATTTGTATCTTTGTGTCATCTCCTCCTACACTGTATCAATAGAGTATGGCAGAAGTGATGGCATGTCACTTCCAAGAATAGGTAATAAAAGACATTGTGGCTTCTCTCTATCTCTGATTACTCCCTCCAAAGGAATCCAAGTGTTATAACTTGACAACACCATGCAGCCCCATGGAGAGGCTGACATGGTGAGGAAGTGAGGCTTCCAGTCCACAGCCATGTGAGTGAGGCTTCCTGGAAATGGATTCTCCAGAACCAGTCAAGTCTCTACATGAGTACAGCCTTGGCTGACAGCTTGACTGCAACTTCATAAGAGTCTCAGAGCCAGGGGGCACCTGGGAAGCTCAGTCAGTGAAGCACCTGACTCTTGATCTCAGGTCGGGTCTTGATCTCAGGGTCAAGCCTTGTATTGGGCTCTGACATAGAGCCCACTTAAAAAAAAGAGTACCTGAGCCAGAACCACCCAGCTAAGTTGCTCCTGAATTCTCAACCCTTAGTAACTGGGTATGATAATAAGTGTTGTTGCTTTAGGCTGCTAAACTTTAGGAGTAATTTGTTACACAGCAATAAAAAACTAATACACATGCTCTTTGGCACAATTACACTGTGTGGAATCCATAAATTTGGTGCCTTCATTTCCCACTGCCAGCTTTGATTTTGTCCTGAAAGTGGAATAGAATAGGGCTAAGGGTATCCACCAGCAGTGCTGGCCATTTCTCATTCCCACCCTTTAAAATATCTCCTTGGGAGAAAAAAGTAGGACTTGAGGTTTTCCTGATGGCAAATGCTCTGGAGGGCCAACTGGATCTCCTGAAGTTTGAGGGTGGAATTGGCAGAAATAACTCCCATTAACAAAGCCTTTCTAGGTACCTCAAACTGAAATTCATTTTTCCCACTTCTGAGCTCTGATAGCACTCTGTTTCTTATACAGCTTGCTATTTGTGGCCATGGTCTCTGTGGGTTGCCCATTTCTCCACCCAACTGTAAAGTCTTTTCATCTTCATATCACTTTTCCCTTTGCCTCCAGTTCTATGTGTAGCAGCCCAACAGATGTTTATTGACTTGAATACCAAGGCACTCGAGACACAAACTCTCACAGTTTTCTGCAACCTTCATATTATCTTTTTGGGCCTCAAAATCTTTCTTTTGGCCCAAGTGCAGTTTGTAACCCTTTGTTTTTTATACAAGGTTCAGCTTGCCTCCTTACTGGCCAGTTGTGCTTAAGTGAATGATTAGTAATGGATCAGAGTGGTCCTAACTCATTGCTAGTTGAGCACAAGTCATTAGTAAATGCCCCCAAAGCTCACTTCAGCTAGGGCATTCGTGGAAGTCAAGAATCTTGGTTGAGGCAGGTGAGAGTCTCCTGCCATCCTGCCCCAGTTTGGCTCTTTCTCCTACCAGCACCATATTCAGTTTGGGAGGCTTGGTTTTAAAGTGATGATGACAAATAGAAGTATTCAAGCATAGAGAAGACTTGGAGTGGGAACACAAGGTGAGGAGAGATGGTAGCTATAGTTGCAGATCTGAAAGGCCTGTCATGAAAAGGACAAATTAGGCTTGTTCTGTGTGGTGGCCAGGTTAGAACCAGGAGCAATGGGGTGGGGGGAGCCACAGAACCACCACATGGTAACGTATTGCAGCTAGTGTTTACTAAGTAATGACTATATCATAGGCATTGTGCTATTAGTCTCATTTTTATAGATAAGAGACCTCAGAGTCCAAGAAGTCTAGTAAATCTGACCAAGTCACAGGGTTAATATTGAGGTGCCAGTGTCAAGACCAAACATAGGCAGTCCAGCTGGAAAGCTCAAGGTCTTAACCACTGCACTATACATTCTGCCCTCAGGAAAGGGTGATCCAGATAAGATGCAGAGCCGATTAGAAGCTACAGTGGTAATCATATTACAATACATCAGTGTATCAAATCAACATGTTGTATGCCTTAAATTTGCACAATGTTAAATCTCAAATATATTTCAATTTAAAAAAGAGAACAGTTGAATGGTCTGCTTTATAGAATGGTGAGCTCTCTGTCTCTGGAAAGTTTCAGGTAGAGGCATGTGACTTTCTGTCACTTGATGGAAAGTTGGATTGAAAGATATTGGGTCCCCAGCCCCAGCCCTGAGACTCTCTGATTCCAGGTGGGAGGCAGCAATCTGGAGGCTAAATGGAATGACATGTCTCACTAACTCCCCCGAGGGCTTTATCTCCGTGTAACCAAACAACTGTGGTGATGAATCGAGCAGCGCTCACTCTTTCGGAGCAGCAACCACCTGGAAGGCGGTGCAGCAACCTGGTGAGAGCAAACCCCAGTCTTGGAGCATGTAAAACTCCTCCAGCTTCAGCAGGAACAAGGGGCAACAGTGACAACAAGCACCTATTACCGTTCTGATTTCCTGCATGGAGTTTATTTTGTTCTCAGACTTAAAGGTTATTATGTGAATTCCAATGAGCTGCCTGCCAGCTCTCCTTCTCTGCCTGTCAGCTTTCCCTTTTCTTTCCAATAACAGATTGATTTGCTTACTCACTAGAACATAGGCATGAGGGAAGATGTCAGGTTTTTGTCACCTGCATTTTTATTTGTGCATCCCTCCTTCAGAAATGGCTTATCCTGCACAGAATTTTTTCACACCTGACCATAGGGCAACCTCCTTCAACCAAAATTGCAAACTTGCTATCTGTCTTTTAAATGGCTAATTTGTTCACTTGTTTCATTGCATTCCTGCTCTGAGTGTGCATGCACGTGTGTGTGAGTGTGTATGTGTGTGAGTTGAGTTTGAAACTCAAGGCTCTGCAAACCCCTCTCTGTAAGATGGCACATTCTATCTTGTAAGGCAGGATGAGGAACTAGAAATGCTTGGTGCTTGGTTGACATAAAGCGTATCTGACAGACAGAGACAGCTTGGCTCTGTTGATGCTGGATCTGTGGGATTTGGGGGGCTTATTCCTCAGGAGATCCCCAGCTGGATTCTGCTTCTAAGCCATGGAGGCCTCTTGCTTAGATACTACTTCCCCTTTCCACCACAGGAATGGAGCACTTGCTGTTCTGAAGATATTCCTTCTTCCTTTGTAAGTTCTAAACAGCTTTGCTTTCTTGTTCTTTTGTCAGCTTCCTTGTTAGCCCCTCTTTCCAGAGGGTGAGTGTGTTTCTTCTCAGAATTAGTGAATGAACTTATTGCTGAGGAAGAAATCTGCCTGGGCATCTGGTTCCAATCCACTTCTGCACACATCCTACTCCCTGGCATTTGGCCTTTTAGCATTCCAATCAGAACATGCTTGGAAGTATCTGGTGGGGCAGAAAGTTTCAGCTGATACACCTCATTGCTCTAAAATAATATGGTTTCTTGACATGAGAGCAAAAATTGTGCCTTATTCTAGATTGCTCCCCCATCTCCCTGCAGCACCTTGCAAATGTCTGGCATCGAATAACTACATACCAATTCACATTCCCCAAGATTCCTCAGGGGTTAATAACCATACAACAAAGTGCTCTAAAGTTTTTAAAATACAAGGTTCAAATAAATTTTTAAAGGTTTTTTCCTCCCCCAGCAGAATTTCTCAGAGCTTTTACCATGATGATATGTATTGTACCATTTTAAGAATGAGGGAATACAGTTTGCTGCATTTCCCAAACTTCTTTGACCATAGAACTCTTCTCTGGCTGGGGCATCCTATGGATCACCAGTGGACTGGAGTCTGGTGAAGAGGTTTATTGAGTGGGTAAATGGTTTGGAGTACTAAGGGAGGCCCTGATTCAATGCACTGCTCAAGTTCACTCATAGCTGCCCCTGTGGCTTGAATGAACTGGGCCAAATTTGAGGACAAGAAGAACACGGAACAGAGTTTGAGACTCTCAGGAAATCATTCTGCATGTCTCCTCCTCTGAAGATTTGTAATAGGCAAAGTCAGATTAAAATGAACATCAACAATTAGTCAGAGGCATATTAACTGGACCCTTCTCTTTTACTTCTCATGACATCTTTGGCCTACCAATCAATTGCCTACCACATTACTATCATTTCCTTCTTTCACCAGAAAATGGGGATTAAATTAAAGAGCTATAGAGACATTAGTTTATGATCATCTAATCCAATCAGTTGTGGTGACTCTTCCAAGGTCAATTTGTAGCAAAACCAAGACTAGAACCTTGGCCTCTTGCCTTGACCCACTGCTCTTTGCTCTTCATCTTCATTTCTTTATGACTCTCCAATTTCCTAGCCTGACTCCTTCCCAAAATATTTGGATCTCTGTCTGATGTAACCAAAGTCTAGGGGGTCAAAAGTTTAGTGTTTCTACTGTCCAGTAATTATTGTGTTCGACTGGATTGCGCATTTCAGAATGACAACATAAGTGCACATCTGTACACTTACGAGCACAACGTGGTGATTCAATGAATACTGTAGAATCACCAGTCAGTGTTTAATACAAATATTGCCGACTAACTGGAGTTGAGTTAGCTCTCTGGGCTTTTCTGTATATCCCAAAGTAAGAGTGAGCTCATTTAATGAAGTCCTAATATCTGGGTAATATTTCCAATGGCTGCCTGTCAATCCATTGATAGTAGAGGCCTCTTGGAGTATCTTTCCCTCCTCTCAATCCCCAAAGGGTAAGATTATTTTCCAAAGCAGCAAAGCTTTCGTGGAGGTTTGGCTAGCCACAGGAAGTACAAAGAAGCAGAAGTTACCTTGCAACGTGTTGAAAATGGCAAAAAGATATAAGAAAAAGATCCTTACAGGTCCCCAGGCAAAAAAAGCAAACCCCCAGGTGAGGCCAAGTAAGAATGTCAGGCTCGTTGTGCCTTTAAGGTCATGCAGGATCATCTTCCGCCGGGTCCTGCGGCTTTGGGAGTTCATGGAATTCAGTTGAGCAAGAACAGTGCAGAACATGGAGAGATTCATTAGAAATATGAGGCAAAAATAAGCCACAACTGAGGTGTAAAAGATAGAATCATCTTTAATCCAACAACTGTAAGAGACAAAGAAGAGAAGGCCATTGTGAGATAGATAAACTTACAGTTTTCAGTCAGACACTCAAGATCACCTTATCAGTTTTAGTTCACCTGAGAGCATCTGTTCCTAGAGAGAGGAACTGTCTTTTTTTTTAAGATTTTTAAAATGTATTTATTTGAGAGAGAGAGAGAGAGAGAGAGAAGAAGTGGGAGGGGCAGAGAGAGAGGAAGAAGCAGACTCCCCACTGAGCAGGGAGCCCCACGTGGACATGGGGCTCAATCCCAGGACCCCGGGATCATGACCTGAGCCGAAGGCAGATGCTTAGCCACTGAGCCCCCCAGGTGCCCCAAGAGAGGCGCTGTCTTGACAAGAGTTCACTCACACTCATTAGGGGCAGAGTGGGGCTCGAACCCCAATCCCCTGAGCCTCAGTCCAGGGTTCTTTCTAATACCAGAAATCCTAAAGGAAATGCAGAAACTTCTCCGTCCAATTCCCTAGGAGGCTATTCTGTTCCTCAACAGCATAAGAACAAATTATGTATTTTCCTCCAAAGTGGCTCTCCCCCTACCCCGCCCCACCACTTTACACCTGAGCTTTTGTTTGCAGGATGAATTCTGCTTTGCATGATAAATATCACAGTAAAAGGACATGAGCAATGACAGGCTTTCCTGAATGCTATATCAAACAATGAAGAGATCATCAATGTTAATGATGTATATTTTAAACCTCCCTCTGCAGCCTCAGGTTTGGAAGACAAAAGGCAACACTGACCACTGGACTCTTAATGGCTCTACTGTTTCTATTAAAAAAGAAATATGTGATGATTCATATGAACAAATACTTCATCTAATAGCATTTCCAATTACCAGGGGCATTACCTCTGAGTTTTGAACATGGACAAGCTTAACTAATTTAACTGTGTGTCAATTAGCTGAGACCTCTTTTCCAGAACAAGGAAAAGTCCTTGTGATTATATTGTTTATATTGGTGTGGATACTTTCATGTTTGTGAGTTTGTGTGTGGTTTATGTGTATGTTGGGAGGGAGGGAGGGAAAAAAGCATTTAATTTCCCTAATAGGGATGCCTGAGTGGCTCAGTGGTTGAGTGTCTGCCTTTGGCTCAGGTCATGATCCCAGGGTCCTGGGATCGAGTCCCACATGGGGCTCCCAAAAAGTGAGCCTGCTTCCCCCTCTGCCCATGTCTCTGCCTCTCTGTGTCTCTCATGAATAAATTTTTTTAAAAATCTTTAATTTACCTAATAAAGTCTAATACTTAGTATTTTCTGAATATCATCTTAAACCTTAAAGGAGGCTATAGAAGACATTTTAAAAGGGGCAGCACTATATGTTTGGATACAGAATCATCTCTAAGACACATTATTAAGTACCAAACAGTGTATATCTACCATGTGGATGACAGAGTGTACAGGAGAATATCTATACAAGTCTGATTGTTGGTAATAAGAATTTCATCAAGGAAGAGAGATGGCATGGCTGGGGGTTGGGAGCAGGGCTTACTTTTCATCCTCTACCCTTTTGTGTGTTTGAATTTTGTACCACGTGCATGTATTACTTCTTCAAAATATAATTATTTAAAAAAAGCTTTTACAGCACTCTGCCTCTTACTAACCAATTCACATATGAAAGGGCTCTTTTCAGGAGGAGTGGAGTTGGTTCTGTTCTGGTTTTGCTTTTGATCTTGAAGAAGAATCACCAATAGATAGACACTGGGGGCCCTTTAAGTCACAGAACAGGCGAGGAGCAAGGATGGAGGAGGAGATGAGAAGCAAAGGAAGAGAAAATGGAGAGAAAGAAAGGGTAACAATAATTATATAATTAGAAGGCACCTGCTGGAAAGGACAATATAATTTTGACACCCCAGAAACTGTCATCTCAATGTAAAAGATGGAGGAGTCTGGGGGGCTGTATGTGAGACCTCCTACATTTGATTCTAGTCCAGTAGGAGAGGAAATCTGTAGTTAAAAAAAACAACCCAGCTTTAGAGGCAACAATAAAGAGAATGAATCTAAGTAAGTAAAAAATAATCAGAAGCGTGAAAGGAAAGCATGCAGTCTAAAGGACTATATGGTAACTAGCTACATGCCTATAAAAGAAGGTTATGGAAAGGCAAATGGCTACTTCTCTGTGGATGTGGATGAGAGAACCACAGAGATGGGCTTATACATTGGGAAGAAAACAAAAGATGGTAAGCAGGGCATAATTTATAAACTTGTCCAATCACTAAGTTGGACAACCATAGCTAATGTAACATTGTGTGTCAACTGTACTCAAATAAAAATAAATTTTTTAAAAAAAGAATAAAAAGGAGATAAGAGAAAAAGAAGAAAAGAAAAACAACAGGACAACAACGCTGAACCAATTTACAAAGGGAAGCAGTGGAGTCTTTCAGGGGAGATGGTTGTTGACAGGTAGAAAATGTCTTCCAACCGTCTCCATATTTCCTTACAGTGGTCACTACAACTCCCCCCACATCCTGCAAGCTTTCTAATCATAATCACTGCCAGTTATGTAGCCCTTACCATGGAACAGGCCACATGCTGAGCACTTTATATATGTGATGTCATTTTAATTTGCATACTACATTGAGACCAAACATTATTGTCCCCATTTTCCAGGGTAGGAAATGGAAGAAAGAGGTAAAGTAAGTTGTCCAAGGTCACACAGAGCCAAGGTACCTAACAGTTATATGAGTGCACCCATGACTGTGTTTAGGCCAAAAACAGTGAGGCTAAGTGTCCCCCTGAGTGGTCGCCAAGACCAAGCTGCAGGTCAGGAACAACCCGCCCCCCACCATTTCGCAGCCCCTGATGGTCAAGAGCATCACCACCTGAGTAGCAGAGATGCCAGTACTTACAATGGAGTCGTTGAGCTCAGCGTTCCATACAGATCTTTTTTCACACTGAGTGTGATTGCCACCATGACCCCTGGGATTCCTAGAGTGGGGAAACAAGCCAAAGGAGTCCCATTAGGAAGCAGGAGAGGTCCTGATCATTGACTGTGGGCCCTGATACACCAAGACGCTGTTTAAATGAGCCACAGATGTGCGGGCATCAAAATACCATTGTTTGCAAAATGTTTGTGAAATTTTCCAAGTTAAACATTTCTAGGAATGCTCCAATCTGCTAAACTAAACAGCATGCCAAAGGCTCCAATACAACGCCCACTGATTATTAAAAATAACTCAAGTGCCAAAAAATCAACTTGGCATTAGAAGTATCTAGTTCATCGGAATACAGGTTCGCATCAAGCATTTCTTCCCAGATGATGGGCTGCCAATTTTTTCTCCTTAGTTCCCAGGATCTTTTTGTCTAGGTCATCTTGGAGGAAGGGCACAGGCAATCAGCTGTGGCCTTCAGTGCTTTCTGACAGGGGGGCTGTTTCCACACTCGTTACTAGTTTGACATTTTGACTAGATCGACCAGTTAACGACCAGTCAATTCAACCAGACTATAATAAAGCAATCAGTTTACTCAAAGTGGTCAAACGTGATGTGAGTATAGACACAGGATTTAAAAAATCCAATTTCATGTACATTTGCAAAACTTAAATGATTTCCTTATTTCTAACCAATGTATTTCTCCTAAACTAAGAGCATTGCACCTGCACACATTTTAGGGGTTTCGTAAGGTGCTTTGCGAGGCTGTTCTAAACCCCGGAGTGCCAAGTCTCTTGAAAAATCCTCTGCTGTCCTGTAAATAGGACAGTTCCTTTTGATCTGTATATCACACACTTAGCACAGTGCCTAGCATGATGTAGATATTTACAAAAATATCTGTTGGAAAAAAAACAGGAACAGACTCATAAATACAAAGAACAAATGGTTGTGGTGAGAGGAGGGGGATGATGGTGGGGGGGACATGGGTGAAGGGGTGTGGAAGGTATAGGCTTCCAGTTAATGGAATGAGTAAGTCACGAGGATGAAAAGAACGGCATAGGGAATGTCGTGAATGGCACTGTAATAGGGCTCTATGGGGACAGGTGGCTGCTCACTGTGATGAGCACAGTATAATGTAGACTTGTCCAATCACTATGTTGTACACCTGAAACTAACATAACATTGAGTATTAACTAGACTTCAATTAAAAAAAATTGCTTTAATCTGTTGGAGGCCAGAAAGGAGGGATGGAGTGAGGTATCACATTTACAGTGGAAGCTGTGAGGCAGTCCCCAAGCTGTGTTTATACTTTGGTAATTAACAAATTAATAAATTATTGATTAATAAACAAAAAGATCCCTACTGGTTAAAAAAAATGTGGACCAATCTACTGCCTTGGACAGAGATTTAAATGCAGGAGTAAAACCTTTTCAACAGGTTGCTTTGGCATTAGGAAGACAGAACTTCAAACATAAAGAGACGCTAAGTTTGTTTTCCTTGCAGTTGATTGCATTTGTTTAATATTTAAATGCTCCGAAAGTGCCCATAGCTGGAAAGCTCTGCAGTGGCTCCCTGGTGACCTTGCAGGTAGCCACCTAGGCAGAGCAGGTAAAGGCTTGCCCAGAATCTGATCTGAACTTGGACAGAATGTCCCAGGATCCCACATGAGTTGGAGAAGATCGCGGGCGTGTGAGGTGTACTCTGAGGCCCTCCCCTACTCGCCTTTCCATCTCCTCCAGGAGGCCATCAGGAGGCAGGTTCTCATCCCTCCCAGGTTCTGAGGAGGCGTGGGGCTTTGCACCCTGCCCCCCTCAGAACAGAGCTGCAGAATACAAAAATGCACGCCTCGGCTTAGAACAGGCTCTTCAGCGGCAGGGAATCCCTCAACCCTCATGGCAGCTATCTGTTCCCTTTGTTTGGGTGTCGTTCTTTTATAGTGTGTGGGACAAGGACTTGGGAGCTGGCACCTCTAGTTACTCTTCCATTCACCACCATCTCTGTAAGTAAATCAAGTGAACCTGAAAGCAGCTTGTAGCATCCTGACCAGTGGAGCCAGTCAGGCTTGGCCTTGGCTGTAGTGTGTACTTGACACCCCAGCCAGTGTGTGTAGAATGAGATTATCCAAGAGACAAGAAGGAAGCCCTGGGGAACACCACCATTTAAGGAGAGAGTGAAGGAGGAGGAGTCTGAGAAGGAAGTCAAGTAAGAGAGATGAGAAGGGGGAAGGAAAGCCAGCACGGAGTTTTTATCTACAACCCCTTTCCAGTTAGCCATATGTGGGTTATCTGCTTTGGGGATTATTCATGAAGCCTCTTCCACAACATTTTTCAATCTCCCAGTTGACTTGAGACGAGGGCTGCCAGGCACAGGAGGAGTGTACTGACAGCTTTGGGCTCTGTGTTTCTGATGGATTGTAAAGTGTGCTGAAACAATTTTAGATTATGCTCTGCTTGGTGTTTGCCTGTCTCTGGTCCCCACATTAGCATTGGATAATAGCACTGACTGTGGATCCAGGGAAAGCATGTGCTATGTTAATGAACTCATTAAAAGGATGAGTAGCTAATTGGGAAGCTATTGTCTTTACAAAGGCAGTGTAAGATAAAATCTATCCTCACATGGATCCTATGTGTCCCCTCTTCAGTGTACCTCCTGTATATCCAACACATTCTCTGAACTCAAAATCTGTTTTGAATAGGCAAGGGGGGGCAGGGAGGCACTGAGCTGACCTTGTCAGAAATACAGGACAGCAAACCAATGAAATAACATTTAAATGAGGAAATTTTCGTGCTGGGTTCCATTCCTGGCTTCTTCCATCGGGGAGCAGTGACAGTGACCACCATGAGGTGTGGTGGGTATCTGGGCGTCTGACCCAGCACCCCTTCACACCTTGCAAGTCCTTTCCCTGTCCCTTCAACAATATGGCCATATCGCAGAGGTCACATGCCCAAACTATGGAGCCAAATCTCTGGTTCAAATCCCAGGTGGGCCATTACTAGTTATGTGCATTTTGGCAAATTACCCAATCTCTCTGCCTCAGTGTCCTCACCATTAAATGGGATTAATGATGAAATTTTCCTCATAGAGACATTGTGAGTGCTGAATAAGTATGCAGAGCACTTAGAGCAGTGTTTGGTACTTGTAAGTGCTACTACACAAGTACTACCATACACGTAAGTACTGGCTGTGATACTACTAAGTATTTGTTGGGGTTCTAACTTCTGTAGAGGGAAGGATAAAATCTGACCGGTTCCTTTCAGTAGTGCTTGCGTTTAACACAGTACACAAGCAGCTGCTCAATAAATATTCGTGGACCCATTCCTCACCATAGAGGTTAAAAGTTGAATTCATAGAGCAATAGAGGCAGAAAAAGAGATGCACACCCAAACACCAGTGAGGCAATCCTTAATTCCTTACTGATGATAATACCAGATAATAACAGATAATATCTGAATAATGTGTCTAATGAAGCTGGAATTAGAAATGCACACAGGCTCAAAACAGAGAGACATCAAGGACAAGCAGATATACTTACCCCAACCAACTAGACAAAATTTAAGTATATAATTGGGGACATATATGTTGAAGACTCTGACAAGAGACAAATACATGTGGACCGCCTCCAGGCCCATCCAAGTCAAGGAAACGAGCAGGAAGTAATGAAGGGCCATGGCAGCTGTGACACACAGTCCAGCTTTCTGAAATGACGATGACCAGGAATTGACCAGAAAGGTCAGGTTTAACATCAGTAGTGCTGTGCACAGGTTGATCAGGATTTTGGAAGGATGATCTTTTCGAAGTTTGCTAAAAGAAAAGGCATAGCGTTTAGGTAGGCAGGGTCTCTGGTTTTAATCAAGCATTGCCACATCTTATCTGCCTAATAAGTGGAGGAAAAAAAGAAGTGCCTAGGGGCACCTGGATGGCTCAGTCGGTTAAGCAGCTGACTATAGATTTCGGCTGAGGTCATGAGATTGAGCTCCAAGTAAGACTCTACACAGTAGGGAGTCTGCTTGAGGATTCTCTCTCCCTCCCCGCTCTGATCCTTCCCCCACTTTAAAAAAATAAATAAATCTTTCTTAAAAAATCAAAGAAAAGAAGTGCCTATTAAAATTAACCTACTCCTTCTATCTTAAATGTACTGGATTTTTTGAGCTCCCTACCCTTTTTCCAGGTGGAGTCAGAGTATCCTAAATACAGTGACCTTCACTAACAGGAATAATAGTAGCCTCTCTGAGCTAAGCAGCATCCTTTTTTCTTTTTCCTTTTCTTTTTTAATTTTGGGGAAAAGAAAGGAAGGAGTTTTCTGGACACCACCATTATGTCATCACTTCTTCAGCAGACTCAGGGCTGGATCTACTTGTTTCTTGTGTTTTTGATTTTAGTCATTCTGACAGATGTGAGGTGATAGCTCATTGAAGTTTTGCTTTGCAGTTCCCCAATGAGTGATGACGAGCATCTTTTTGTGTATCTGTTGGCCACCTATATATCTTCTTCAGAGAAATGTCCGTTCATGTCTTCTACCAATTTTTAATTGGATTATCTGATTTTGGGGGTGTTGAGTTTCATCATCTTTTTTTAATTTTTTTTTAATTTTTATTTATTTATGATAGTCACACAGAGAGAGAGAGAGAGAGGCAGAGACACAGGCAGAGGGAGAAGCAGGCTCCATGCACCAGGAGCCTGACGTGGGATTCAATCCCGGGTCTCCAGGATCGCGCCCTGGGCCAAAGGCAGGCACCAAACCGCTGTGCCACCCAGGGATCTCATCACCTTTTTATATGCATTTTTAAACTATTGAATTGTACACTTTTAAAAAGTTTATTTATTTATATTTTTAGCAATCTCTACCCCCAACCTGGGGCTCAAACTCATGACCCTGAGATCAAGAGTCGTGTGCTCCATCGACTGAGCCAGCCCAGTGCCCCAGTTTTCTATATATCTTGGGTACTAACCCTTTATCAGATATGTCATTTGTAAATATCTTCTCTAGCGGGAATATTTTCAAATCCCGGAAGGCTCCTTCAATCTTTTTCCAATTCAATAACCTCCCCTCGCCAACACACACACAGAAGTAACCAATATTCTAGCTTTTGTCCTCATAGATTAAGTTTGGCCTGTACCTAGAACTCTGTATAAGTGGAACGATGCAGTATGCTCTCCTCTTTTTCTGACTTTCTTTTTGTTCAATTCTACGTCTATATGATTTAGATGTTATGTTCTGCACTGTACAGGAGTAGTCCATTCTTTTATACTGCTGCAAAGCATTCCATTTTATGAGTATACCACAATTTATTCATCCAGTCAACTGTTAATACACATTGCAGTTGTTCCCAAATTGGAGTCACTATGAATGAACCTGCTGTGAATATTCTTGTATATATGTTTCAGTGGACACATGTACTCATTTCTCTCTAATAGTGAAATTTCTGGATCAATAGCCAGATATGTATTGGTCTAATAGTGAAATTTCTGGATCAATAGCTAGATATGTACCTACCTTCAGTAGGTATTGCCAAAGAAATTTCTAAAGCATTTGTGCTATTTTACATTCCCACCGCCAATGTATAAGTGTTCCAGTTGTTCCACACCCTTGTTGGCACTTGTTCTTTGCAATACTTTTTATTTTAGCCATTCTGATAGGTGCATAGACATATAACTGTGGTTTTCATTAGCATTTCTCTGATAAGTAATGATGTTGCAAACACTATTGTATGGTTATTAGCCATTTGGGTAAGGATTAGGGTTAGGCATGAATATCCTCTTTTGTGAGATCCCTTTCAAATTCTTTGCCTAATTTTAATTGTATTGTCTATCTTTTTCATTTGTATGTGTGTATATATATATATATATATCTGCATAAAAGTCTTTTGTCAGATATATGCATTGAAATTATCTTCTCCCAATTTATGGTTTGCCTTTTCACTACCTTAATTGTGTCTTTTGGAGAAAAAAGTTTTTGATTTCAATGAAGTCTAATTTATCAACTTTTTCGTTTATGGTTAGTGTTTTGTATCCCATTAGAGAAATCTTACCATACCACAACCCTCTCACTTTTTAAAAATCCAATTACAGTCTCTTTTTCTCTCTCTCTTTTTAGAGGAGCCTTGGTTGTTTCTTTTTTAATCTGTCCACTTCATAATCTAATGGATTTGACCTCTTCTTATTGTGATGAATAGGAACATTTTATTAAATTAACAGGTTACAATGACAACAGCATCCATCAAACCAAATTAAACCTACTGAGAGCAAGACTTTATCAACTTACTGAAAAGCTATGTATGTCACCATTGCAACTCCCAGGAAAATGGAGGAGATTCCACATCCAATGTATGTTATAAGCACTAATATCTGTTCATTCACTGCATCCACTGCAGACCTGGATAAATCCTAGGAAATGCAAATATGGTATTTTATACATTTGCCAGACAAGTTCATGGTAAAACACTTCCGGAGCTCACTATAGGAGGTCCTCAGGATATTTATAACATCTCTGCTATAGGTCTTTTAAAACCAGACTATGCAGATGAATATACAGTAAGACTGTATATTGTTTGTTGAATATGCTTAGTGCAACTTACTGTGTACAGGTCATGGAGAGCCATTAACAGCACTAGAAGAACATTTAGTCCTTGGCTTTATTGTCATTAACATGTTCCACACTTAAAATATAACCGAACTAATAGATGTGAATTTGGGATGCAGAGTGAATCATTATTTGAACTAAGCATCCTAAAACACTTCACAGAACCTCAAATTTTTTTCCTTTTCCTTAGGCCTTAAATAACTTTCATAAAATTAAGAGGCAAAATGGACCTTAGAGATTACATAATCCCAAAATTTCTTAACCTGTGGACCATAAAAGACCTGAAATGGGATGCAAAATCATTTGAATATTTGTGTGCATTGTTCTGGGGAGAAGGTCTATAGCTTTCCTCAGATAGCTATAGTTATAGAGATTCATGAATCCTAAAAGGCTAAGAAGCACTGGTCTACCCTGGTAGTTCTCAGCTGGAAGCAATGTCTCCCCCTGGGACATTGGTACTGTCTGGAGACATTTTTGGTTGTCACTACTGGGGAAGGTGCTACCGGCATCTAGTGGGTAGAGAGGCCAGGGATGCTGCTAAACATCATGTAATGCACAGAACAGTCCCCTACAACAAAGAATTATTTGGTTCAGAATATCAACAATGCCAAGCTTACCATGAGTAGGAGAAACAACTTGTGCACAACACATTCAGATGACAGTATAGAGTATATATATTAAGGTAACTCAAGACAACTAAGAAAGTACTTGGAGAGGGGTAGAAAAGAAGTAACACATTTGAAAGCCATTTTCTTTTTCTTTCTTTCTCTTTCTTTCTCTCTTTCTTTCTTTCTTTCTTTCTTTCTTTCTTTCTTTCTTTCTTTCTTTCTTTCTAACTAAACCTTGTGCCCAACATGGGGCTTGAACTCCTGACCCCAAGATCAAGAGTCAGGTGTTCTTCTGACTGAACAGGTGTTCTTCAGCCAGGTCCCCCTTTGAGAGCAATTTTGAAGGAAAACTCAGCAACTTCTCATGTTAGGGAGGGCTGTAGACCACTAAAGAGATGGAAGAGTTAACTAACAATGACTGAAGCTCTAAGCCTGAATACGAGAATTGATGAGCTGACTCTTGTTTGGTTAAGTACTGCAAGAATTTTAAAAATATATCTTTCCTACAGTGCAATCTGACAATTAAAATATTTAATGACCATACTCTTTGACCCAGAAATTCTGCTTCCATTAATTTATCCTACAGAAATAGTTACACCAGTGTTAGAAGAGTCATGAAAAAAAATGTGTATTACAGCATTGTTCATAATGGAGAAAAACAATAACAACTAAAATGCCTGCGTATAGGGGATTGGTTAAATTCATCGAGTTAAATCCACACAAGAGAATTCTATAAAGGTATTTTGCAAATTGAAGTAGATGGATATGTATTTGCCTGAAAGGTGTCCCATTATATTGTTAGTGCAAAGCAACTGGTAAACAGTGTGAATAATTTGATCTCATTTTTATAAAACAAAAACATATTAATGTATTAATATACATATAGGAAAAGAATGTGAAAGAATTTACATAAAGTTGTTAAAGACAGTGGTCTCTTGGGTGGGGGATTATAGGGACCTTTTCTGTAATGTTTGAATTTTGAAGAGTAAGAATTACTTTTATAAGGAGAAAAATAAATATTTATTTCAATATGCTCTACGTTGGATTAACAAAGAAGGAGCTGTTTCCTGCTCACATGCCACTTTTCCATAACAGTTCATGCATGTATGTCTGGTCTGTAATCTAATAAAATTTGCCCAAATTATATCAAGGAGTGGTTAAGGGACAACTTACCAATAAGACTCCAAAATGGGTGAGGTGGTCACACTGACAGATTGTGTGATTTTCATTCGTTTCCTTTACTTTACAGCCTGATGAATTCCATCCACCTTGCCCATCTGCAGGAGACAGAAGGAAATTTTAAAGCAATTTGGTTTTTCTCAGAAATGTTTAACTTTTCATTATATGCACCTTCCGAGCGTGTGTTATAATTAGTATGCTTTGTTAAGAGAACAAGATAGAAGTATAGTTGAACATGGAAATAAAATTAAGCCTAATAGGCGAAATTGACTTTTTGGGGACTTTGTGCATGGCATACTTTCTGTAGCTCTCACTTCCTGTTCCTGCATGGGGAAATTCTACAGATTCCTTCTAAGATTAGGACAGACTCTAATCATCGCTTCTCAGCCTTTTAGCTAAGATCAAGTGTAGGACAGACTCTAATCATGAACAACAGTCCTGCCACCATGCTGAAGTGACAGGGTGAGGATTATTTTCTTAAGTAGCACAAATAAGAACAGGTAGATCTAGAATTTTCTGAAGGACATAAGCTATGGAATATAGGCTGACATTTGGACCCACTTGGTGGCCCTGGAATAAACATCTGAAACAACTAGTTCAAGCCAGATCATGGTCTGTCTGTCACTCCTTAGGGTCAATTAAAGTCTCTTGTTTACTTGACACTTGCGTAGTTTCTCTCTCCTGCATTTGTTCAGGATTCTAAAACCAACTTCCATATCTCCCCGTAACCTGTAGACCTTAGATTTTAGACCACATCTAGAATAGAATCTCCAGGGTAGCACTAGACTAGAGAAGTTATCATAAGGCAGGTGGATAAATGTGGTCAAAATTGGTCCACCCAGGATAACTCCATAGATTCCAGAGGTTCTGGATCCATGGACAGATGGTGGGGGCAAAGGGTGGCTTGGGAAGTCTGGCCACTGACATTGATGAGCAGGTGAATCAATTTATTGAGGCTGTCAAGTGACAAGGCTCATCATTTTACAGTAATCTTATCCTGGGAGACTTGGAGAAGACCAGAAAAGGGCATGCTATCTCTCTGTTGTAGGGAAAGAGTAGTAGTCCTACATCCCAGGGAGTCAAAGAGAAGTATGATTTCCTTTTCCTCCCAGAATTTCAAGGATACTGGAAAGGGAAAAGTTCCCAGGCAGAGGGGCACATAGCCACTCCTGGCATTTCAGGGAAAACAGATTCTAGGTGGGAATACTTTGAGATTTGGCAATATCCCTGGATATTCCAATGGAGAAGGCAAACCTAAGAGGAACCCAGTCAGCAATCCTTGTCCCTAACCTCTTCTCTTGCTGTCCCCAAAGACTCATACTTAACCAAGAAGGAAGGGCCCTTTGAGACCAACCAGGAAGTCTTATCCCCTCAAAAAATTTGGGGCCCTAAGAGAGTAAACAAGATCACACAGTCAGTCTAGAAGATATGAGGGAAAAAAGGAAAAAGATAGTAGATGTTGCAAATCTCCATGGGAAAACACAGATGAAATGCCTGGTATTCATTTCTCAACTTGCTTCAAACAGCTCAAGGCTACTCTGCACTGGGTCTTCCAAATTACCTTATTCTTGAGATGTACTAGGAAAATGGGGAGGGGCAAAATATCATTGAAAACTGAACACAAAGCTTGCTAAGAGAAATACTTACCGTTACTCCCAAAATCCCAAAAGGCACAGTGTACTTGATCATAACTCTAGAGAAAAGAACAATCAGAGGTTAATGCCTCTCCTTGTGACCATGACCACACAATGACAACTACACACAAGTGTTTTCTTCTCAATGTTTTTATAAACAGCAGACACACACACACACACACACACACACACACACACACCATTTACGAGCTGGTTTTAAGACTAACCCAAGTGACTTGGGGTTTATAAGTGAGAAAACACCCTGTTACTGCATGGCTACGTGTTCTTTAAAATATTTGGTAACAGGGTCACCTGGGTGGCTCAGTTGGTTGCCTGCCTTTGGCCCAAGTCATGCTCCCAGAGTCCTGGGATCCAGCCTCACATCTGGCTTCCTGCTCAGCAGGGAGTCTGGTTCTCCCTCTGTCTTTCCCTCCCACCCTCCTTTTTTTTTTAAGATTTTATTTATTTATTCGTGAGAGACACAGAGAGAAAGAGAGGCAGAGACACAGGCAGAGGGAGAAGCAGGCTCCATGCAGGAAGCCTGATGTGGGACTCGATCCTAGGTCTCCAGGATCATGCCCTGGGCTGAAGGTGACGCCAAACCGCTAAGCCACTAGGGCTGCCCCCCTCCCACCCTCCTTCATGCTCATACTGTCTCTCTCTCTCAAATAAATAAATAAAATCTTAAAAATTAATTAATTAATTAATTAATTAATTAATTAAATATTTGGTAACATCAAAGTAATTGGAGCTTCTTCCAGAAGTACATCTTCCCTTCTGTGGATTTTCCTCACAGCATGGCCCCCAAATGTCCATCTTCACTCCTGACTCAAAGAAACAGAGTCTGCCTCCTGCCTCTAAGCCGGAGAGATGTTGACCTCTCAGCTCTTGCTGAAGGGAGGAAAAGAGCAGCAAGAAGTGATTGAACATATGGATGAAGCACAAAATGAAATAGACTTAATGAACAAGTCAGTGAGATTTTGAAAGTAGAACAGAAATACAACACACTCCACCAACCATTTTTTTTTCAGAAGAGGTCAGAACTGATGGCCCAAATCCCAGATTTTGGGGTAACAACACTCGTCAACCATCCACAAGTGTCTGCATTGCTTGGGGAGGAGGATGAAGAGACGCTGTGTTCTTTGGCAAGAGTTGAAGAAACATAATTTGAAGCTATTAACTCAGGTTACAGAATAGATTTTTATTTTGATGAAAACCCGTACTTCAAAAATAAAGTTCTCTCCAAAGAATTTCATCCGAACAAGAGTGGTGATTCATCTTCCAAACCCAGTGAAATCAAATGGAAATCCAGAAAGGATTTGCTGAAACATTCAAGGCAAATGCAGACTGGAGCCAGCAGGAAGAGACAGCAGGAGGAACCAGAGAGCTTCTTCACCTGGTTTCCTGACCATTCTGATGCAGGTGCAAATGAACCAGCAGAGGTCATCAAAGATGTTATTTGGCCAAATCCCTGACCCTACCACTTGCTTCCCCATATAGACGATGAAGGGGGAAGGAGAAGAAGATGATAATGAAAAAGGATCGAAAGATACTGAAGAGGAAGGAGAAGCTGAGTAATGGAACACCAATGGATTTCAAACTTCCTTTTTAAATGTTCTACAGTCCTTGGCAGCAAGTTGCAGTCTTTTTCTCCCCTCTTCTTGTGCTCATTCGCTCTGTTTTCTCAAGTCTCTTTTCTCTCCCTCTATACCTTGGTTCTCAAATTATTTTGGGGGGAAATGTCCAGAGCAGGATGCAGTGGGAAAAGAATCTCTACCCTTTCTGTTCCAAATTCATTTTTATTCCTTCCTGTCTCAACAAGAACTTTCTGGAATCAACATCACTGTACTCTGGGGGGGGGGAGGAAGGAACCCTTCTGCTCCCTTAGCTCTGCTGAAAGCTGAAGGGTGCAAGGCCCCTGTGCAGTAGTGCATAGAGTTCTAGTTTTTCTCCTTTCTCTGGATATCAGGCTCAGAGATTACACTGCATCTCTATGTGAATATGGACAGTTAGCACTAACCAACATGCATCTGTCTACTTTCTCTTGGTTAAGGAAAAGAAAAAAAACTTAAAAATGGGGTTCTGGGGGGCTCTTGGGTGGCTCAGTGGTTGAGCATCTGCCTTTGGCTCAGGTCATGATCCCGGGGTCCTGGGATCAAGTCCTGTATCAGGCTCCTCATGTGGAGCCTGCTTCTCTCTCTGCCTATGTCTCTGCCTCTATCTCTGTGTCTCTCATGAATAAATAAATAAAATATTTTTTAAAAATGTGGTTATAGAAGGTCAGCAAAGGGTGGATTTGAGATGTTTGGGTGGGTCAAGTGGGCATTTTGACAACATGGCTTCTCTTTCGGCATGTTTAATTGTGATGTTTAATGGACATCCTTGCAGTTAAGAAGACACTTTTAAAATAAAATTCTCGGGATCCCTGGGTGGCGCAGTGGTTTGGCGCCTGCCTTTGGCCCAGGGCGCGATCCTGGAGACCCGGGATCGAATCCCACGTTGGGCTCCTGGTGCACGGAGCCTGCTTCTCTCTCTCTCTCTCTCTCTCTCTCTTTCTGTGACTATCATAAATAAATAAAAATTTAAAAAAATAAAATAAAATTCTCTCCTAATGGTGATTTGAGCCCTGCCACTTGATGGGAGAATCAGTAGTACCTGTGCGATCATATTTGGAATTGACATTCTCTATTGTAACTTTGTTCCTATTTATTCCTAAATTTTGTTTCACTGGAAAGGAAAGATGATGCTCAGGGTTTTTGTGTGTGTTAGTTTTTAAGATTTTATTATTTATTTGAGAGAGAGAGCATGAACAGGGAGAGGGGCAGAGGCAGAGGGAGAAGCAGACTCCCCCTTGAACAGGGACCCCAAGGTGGGGCTCGAACCCAGGACCCTGAGACCATGACTTGAGCTAAAGACAGACAGATGCTTAAACGACTTGAACCACCCAGGTCCACTTGATACTGTTTTAAATGTTAAAAGTATACACGTTGGGGTGCCTAGGTGGCTCAGGTCATGATCCCAGGGTCCTGGAGTCCTGCATCAGGTCCCTGCTCAGTGAGGAACCTGCTTATCCTTTTCCCTCTGCCCCCCGCCCTGCCTGTGCTCTCTTGCTTTCTCTCTGTCAAATAAATGGAATCTTTTTATTTATTTATTTATTTTTTATTTATGATAGTCACACACACAGAGAGAGAGAGAGAGAGAGAGAGGCAGAGGGATAAGCAGGCTCCATGCACCGGGAGCCCGACGTGGGATTCGATCCCGGGTCTCCAGGATCGCGCCCTGGGCCAAAGGCAGGCGCCAAACCACTGCGCCACCCAGGGATCCCCTAAATTGAATCTTTTTAATAAGGTGTACAAGTTGCTTTGTTGCAATAAAACTAAATGTGTACACACACACACACACACACACACACACAAATATTTGGCAACATTGGAATTTGCCACACCCTCCTAGTGTAAAGCCCAGAAGGAGGCTGTGGATGGTCCATGCAGGTCCAATGTAGGCAGGTGTTCTTTGCAGAACTTTGGTATTTGGGGCTCACAGCTGAGATCTGGCCTTATGGATGCAAAGTTGAGCTGCTTGCTCACTAGGCCTAGTGAGCATTCCCGGGGCCTCACCAGCTCCTACAACCTCCAGGGAACTGGAAGCATGAGAAATTGGTTGTTGGAAAGCCAAGGCCCTTGCTGGAACTGAGAGATCTTAGCCATCTAACATGTTTCATTCATTTTCTAACATGTTTTTTCTTACATCCCTCTTGCACTCTTCCTTCTTCCCTCCTAGAATTAAGACCTGTGAAAAATATGCTGTACCATATGGTCTTTTATATTGGGAATGAAGGAAGCTATTAAGACTTCACACTGGACATACATTAACATCAAAGAATGGAATAGTAGTTCATTCTTATATTACAGCTAAATTTGATCATTTAGTAATATATACCGTATGTTATGCCATATGACTATGGTTTTAATTCTTTGGTGGTAATTAATACATATTTTAATGTTCTTTGTGGCAATTCAAAAGGATCAAAATGTTCAATTATTTTAAATTGTTTGCCTCACTCAAAAACAAATGGAATTTAAATATCACTTAGTGTGATGGGACAACCAAAAGACCCACCTGCCCTAGTCACGCCTCTGCCAATCTGTCACAGTGCTAGAAGCCCACCATTAGTTACCCCTTGAAGCAATGGCATTATTTCTAGAAGGCCTCAACTACAACACACCTCTACTGCCTAGAATGGGACAATCTTCTTCAAGTCTTGGAATCACATCTGTTAACTAGCCCCTTATCTTTAACAGGAAGTTCAAGGAGGAGTTCAGAGGCCTTCCTGTTCTGAGATGAAAATGGGTATGTTACCTGGTTTCCTTCCACATGCTGCAGAGTGATTACCACTGGCTCAGCCAAGTTTTGAATAGACATATCTGAAATGCTGGCACTCACAACGAAGGTGCTTAATGCTTTTGTGACATTTCTGGTCTGTGGATGAAACATAAGGAAGAGGAGTTCAAATCCTAAATTTCCAATTTCTTGCATGTCAATAATCAGTTCAGAATTACTAACGCATGGCAGGAAGTAAGGAAATATGGAAAATCAAATCACAAGCTGAGAAGAAATGTTATTTGTATTTATTTATTTATTTTTAAGATTTTTTATTTCTTTTTAAGTAAACTCCACACCCAGCGCGGGGCTCAAACTCATGACCCTGAGATCAGGGGTTGCTTGCTCTACTGACTGAGCCAGCCAGGAGCCCCTGAGAAGAAGTTTTTGGAGGCCATTTGGTTCACCTCCTGTCTTCACATAAGGTCTCAATTCTACCAAGCTAGAACAATGCACTAATCCCAGCCCTACAACCAAATATGTACCCAGCAAGCACTGGCTTTGTTGCTACAACTTGGTCGTTACTTGCTACTCAGGAGCACACCACAACAAAGTAAAACTATCCCCTACTTTCCTAACCCTGAACCCTGACATTTCACAATTTACCTTAGTTCTAACCTCAAACCATCCTTACTTACTTGTAAGAGGCCCCTCCTCATAAGAAACATAAATTCATCGTGGGTTAGTTCTAAGCCACCCCATTTCATCGTCCCTGAAGGTGGAAGCAGGTTGATAAACGTCCAGCTTGAAATAGGCTCCTGAGGACCATCATTTCAACCCTAGGGGACCATGAATTCTCAGGTCAGAGCAGAGGCATTTGTGGCCTCATGTCCCCTGCATGGCCTGACATACAGCACATATTTTGTCTTACACCCAAAATGAGCCAGTTACATTGTTCAATGCTTTCCACATGCACTATCTTCAGTCCTCACTGAAACAATATAAACATTTTCCGGATAAACCAAGGGTCGGGGAGGCTGGAAGGCTTGGACAAAGATCAAACAGCTAGTGCATGATGGGGCAGGAATGCCTAATAAATGTTGATTCAAAGGAGATCAAGTAGAATGTGGCTGTTGGGATGTGGACCTTGCTAATTCACAGGGCCAAAGTGCCATAGGCCAAGGCCCCAGGGGGTGCGAGGCAGCTGGGAGACTGCCTCTGCTGGGGCACACATGAAGAGGCAATAGGTGAAGACAGGAGGGATGGGAAGAAAGTCCTCTGAGGACTTGCCAAGAAAGCCTAGATGAGGTGAGCCCAGATGATGTCCCTTGGAGAGCCTGCCGGGCCACTTTCAGGAGATGCCAAGTACCCATATTCCAGAGTCCTAAAGCCACTGAGAACTGGGTAATTGTGAACACAGCCTGGGGTTCCGTTAGGAAGCTACTTACTTCCTGTTCCTGACCAGCTCTGTTCATCCAAAACCAGCCTGTTTGTTCAATACTGCCTTCCCAGAGCATTTTCCCTGTGGTAGCCTCATGCAGAGGTGGATCTACAACACAATATGGTGGCAAGGGCCCTGGCTGACCATCAAAAGACCAAGTGCTAGCCCAAGCCCTCTTGTTCCTTGAAAGTCTCTTCTTCTCTCTGGTACACTGACAACGGGAAGAAAAGTGGACCAGGTGATATCTAACAACCCTTTCAACTTAGTCTAAGAGATAAGAGTTTTCTGGAGTGGAAATGCCAAAAGAGGGGAAACACACAGCCACCCAGGACTTAATCTGTCTTCTGGTTTTCTTACAAAATGGCGGCCAAGCAGAAAAAGGAGCTATGTCATTTCTCACTCTTCTACTCTTTGGCTCAAGGCTCAAGTTTTACCCGTTTTGCTTCTGGACCTTTTAGAGAAGCTGTTCTCTTTGCCTGAAGCACTCCTCCATCCTTGCCCCTTTTCATCTCCTAGCTTCTACTCAACCTTGGGTTTCAGCAGACACCTCTCTAGGCCTTTCCTGACCTCCCAGACAAGAATGGGTGCCCTCGTCTATGCTCCCAGAGCCCCTATGCCATGTTGTACTTGCTTAATGCTTTGTCCTTCTCCTAGAGAACTGCCACTGGTGGAGGAGGAGGTATGCGTTTTCCAGTAATGGTGTCATATCAACAACTTTTTCTTAAAGATTTTGTTTTTAAGCCATCTCTACACCCAAGGTGGGGCTGGAACTCACAACCTTGAGATCAAGGGTTGCACACTCCCCTGACCAAACCAGCCAGGTGCCCCTTATCAACACTTTTTAAAGTAATATGTTGTGATGGCAGTTAAGATTTTGATCAAAAGATGTTGGAAGAAGCAACATGAAAGCAAGGCTGTGAGACTTGGGACTTAGGGGAAAAGGTAGTTAGAGGATGGCATCTCTTATAAGTATTCCCTCCCCAACAATCAGTGGCACAGGACCCAAGCTCAGGTCATGCCCTTCAAAGTTAGGATCTGTGGGTTTCTGTTCTCCCCCATCAGACTGTAAGTTACATGAGGGGCCCACACTATGTCTGTCTTGCTCACTGTTATACCCCCATCACCCAGCACCACATGGGACACATAGCAGGATTTTGATAAGTATTTGCTGCCTGAATAATAACTGTATGACTGAATAAATAAATTGTGTCACCTCTAGCAAGTCCCTTCCCCTTTCTGAGTCTCAATATCCTCACTGGTAACTATGAGTTACAAGGGCCCCTCCAGTTCTGAATGTGATGGCAGGCTACTTCTAATCCATTATCTGGTACTATGACGTCTGTAGGCTAATTTTGGCAAAGATCTTTAATCCCCTTCAGTGGAAGATGTTAGTGAATAAAAATTACTTATTAGGTGTGAAATCTATGCAAAATAAGTTTATCTTTTATTCTATGAGACAAGCACAGCCTTCTAAAGAGAGAAATTAAGACAAAAATAATGGCATGCCAGATGATACAGAGAAATTTCAAGTTTACCAAAAGGGTCAGAGAGCTATGAACCACATTCTTAATTTTTATTAAAATTTTTGTTCACTAACTGTCTTGTCCCCGTTATAACCACTTTATTTTCACTTAAGAACAAGGCTTAATAAATATGTATCTACTAAAAACACGTCAGGTACCTGTGCCATGAAAATAAAACATGCCTGACCCATGACATCAACCACAATCTACTTAGGGAAACCAGACTAGAAACTAGGTGGAAATGTAAGACAAGAATGCAAGCAGGGGGTGGGGATGAAAGCAGGGGCTCATAAACTCCAGGCAGGCTTTCTGGGTGTGATTTAAGCTAAACCCACAGGAACAAATATAATGTACATAGAAAGGGGAGCCACTAGGGAACTCCAGGAGAAAAAAAAAAAACATCCTACAGATATAACTGGAAACAATGTATTATACTTGAGGTGGTACGTAGCATATTTAAGTTGGCCCTTTGCAATCTCCCTGCAATAACTCTGCATATTTGACCATTATAAATTCCTTCCTTTGGATAGCCTCTCTAGAAAATGAAAACACACATAGCTGTTAATGTATGGACCTCTTAAATACTTGAACTATGGAGTCAGACAGCCTTGATTTGATTACTAGTTATGCCACTTCCTAGCTGTATAACATTGAGCAAAATCACTTAGCTTCTTTGTCTTAGTTCACTCGAGCTGTTAGAACAAAAAATCAGCCTGAGTGGCTTATAAGTAACAGAAATTTGTGGGGGATCCCTGGGTGGCTCAGCAGTTTGCCTGCCTTTGGCCCAGGGCGCGATCCTGGAGACCCAGGATCGAGTCCCACGTCGGGCTTCCGGTGCATGGAGCCTGCTTCTCCCTCTGCCTGTGTTTCTGCCTCTCTCTCTCTCTCTCTCTGTGTGACTATCATAAGTAAATAAAAAATTTAAAAAAAAAAAGAAATTTGTCACAGCTCTGAGGGTTGGAAGTCCAAGATGAGGGTGCCTACATGGTCAGGTTCTGATGAAGGTTTGCTTTCTGATTCATAGATGGCATCTTCTTGCTGTGTCCTCACATGGAGGAAAAGTCAAGCAAGCTGTCTGGGGCCTCTTGCATAAGGGCACTCATCCCATTATGACGGCTCCACTCGCATGATCTATCTCCTCCCAAAGCCTCCACCTCCTAATACCATCATCTTGAGTGTTAGGGTGTCAATGCATGAATTCTGAGGGACACAGACATTCAGACCACAGCACTCTCTGAGTCAAGGTTTCTCATAAGTAAATGAGATAATAAAGTGTGAACCTTAACGATTAATAGTGATCATCGACCATTTCATGCTAGCTCTGACTGCTGTCTTCCCCACAGCTAGATGGGACAGAGTGGGCCGAATAAATGAATCTTTTATTAGGCAGAGCCTCCAAATAGGCAAATAATAATAGCAATGCAAACAGCTACCTGGTGCTTATTACATGCTAGGCAATGTTCTAAACACTTTATATGTATTAACTCCTTTCATTCGTCAACAGCCCAGTGAGGTACTACTATTAACCTATTCTACATAGGAGGAAATGAAGGCCCATAGAGGCTGAGTAACCTGCCCAAGGTCACACAGGTAGACTATGACATAGCCGGCTTTAAATTCAGCCAGTCTGGCCCCAGAATCCATGTTTATAGCCACCATATCATACTGCCTCTTTGTTTTAACAACAGGTGAGGACCAGAGGCCTTTGAGAAGGTTCTGTGGAAATGGTGGGAAGGAGCAACAAATGCTGGAGGGCAAGTGTCCTACTGGACACCACTCAGCTTCAAATGAATTGGCACAAAAGAGGGGGGATGACGGCTTGGAGGAGCCAGGGAAGATTCAGGAAGAAAGCACCAAGAAGTTGAAACAACACTCATCAGGAGAACTTGCTGTCCTTTTCTGGTTTTAAAACATCTTAAGGCCTCTATTTGGTCACCACATGATCTTTAAGGTCCCTTGCAAAGCTGAGAAGCTGTGAAAATTAAAAACTGCAGAACATCATTAAAGAAGACGTTGAATCATGTTGAGGGCCAGGGGTTGTGCCAGGAGACTTGCAGAATAAATCAGAGAGCATATTCTAAAATAAACAGAACATCATGAAAATAGAAAGAGCTCATAATTACAATGAGTCATAATATGTCAGCTCATGGCAGTCACCAGAGGCAAGAACTTACCTTAAACAGTGAAGTTTGGCCAAAAAAATTAAACAAGATGGTCTGCAAGCTGCTAAGAGGAATTCTCTCCCTCAGTGATTGAGGCAGATAGATGGAAGCCAAAGCCCTTCCCGGAGGGACTTCACCAAGGTAAATCTGCCAAGGCAAGCCGGGAAATGGTAACTGGAATAATCACCCATGAGCCTGGAGCCCTCCCTACCTCCCACCCCAGCCCCAGCTGCAACCCCGGAGTATCACGCTGGAAAGCTGAAGGCTGGGAAGTAGTTCCACAAGGTATGCCACACCTTTTATGCACACACACACAGGTACATCCTCACTCAGATCATAAGACAAGATGTGACCAGGGTGCACGTGCACACACACACACACACATTCCTTTTTCTTCCCAAACTTATCCCTGACTTTCTCTCCTTCTGGGTATGCATAGAGGTGGAAAGGGAAATGACAAGTCACATGATTTGCCATGATTCTCAGAAATAAAGGCCAGTCTTTGAAAGCAGTCCTCCTTCACCCATACACCTCTGAGAGGAAAGAAAAGGAACAAAAAACAAATACAATAGCATTAGGCATTGGCCCATATTTTATGGGGCAATGCTTTTGTTGAAAAGTAAGGCAGGGTGGGATGCCTGGGTGGCTCAGCAGTTGAGTATCTGCCTTTGGCTCAGAGCATGATCCCAGAGTCCTGGGATTGAGTCCTGTATCAGGCTCCCCACAGAGAAGCTGCTTTTCTCTCTGCCTATGTCTCTGCCTCTCTCTGTGTCTCTCATGAATAAATAAAATCATTAAAAAAAAGAAAAGTAAGGCAGGAAACAAGGCAGTAAGGCCTTAGGAATTCTGTTAGAGGCTCACTAGTAGGAAAATTTGTTGATTTGATTGAGAATAGTATTTTATAAGCACTAGAACATTTTTGAAAGTGAATGGGGACCTTTAAACTGGGACCTAAACTCTCTCAGGGTATATGGGCACCCTTACATGTATTCACTCATTTAAACCCTCTATTAGCTCTGAAATGTATGTTGCATTATGGTATCAGGAAATGGTGGCTCAGAGAGGTTAAGTGACTTGTCTAGGGTCACACAGCTGGGATGTAGTTGAACAAAGATATATGTAAGTTGGGCCTCCATTTTCCCCATTATCCATGTGTCCTATCAAGGAACTATCTAGCTAGCTGTAGACGTAGAGGAGATGAGAGTTTATAATATTTCTAAAAATTATTTGTGAATCCCAAAGCCAAATGGCTCTTCTGCCAGCACAAATAAACTCTGCTAAGGCAATGAAGTACCATGGAGAAGTTATGATTTAGATTCAATGTGCAAGGGATCCCTGGGTGGCGCGGCGGTTTGGCGCCTGCCTTTGGCCCAGGGCGCGATCCTGGAGACCCGGGATCGAATCCCACATCGGGCTCCCGGTGCATGGAGCCTGCTTCTCCCTCAGCCTGTGTCTCTGCCCCCCCCCCCGTGTGTGTGACTATCATAAATAAATAAAAATTAAAAAAAATAAAAAAATAGATTCAACGTGCAAGCAGTTCGGTACTGAGAACATGATTGGGGTTGGTTGACTTGCTTCTCCCCCAAAGTCTATAATAGAAAATCCCACATGTAACCAAACTACAATGGGAACCCAACATCTGCCTCCAGCATGACTGAGTAGCTCCGAATGGACTTGACTCTCCTACCTATAACAACTACAGAAAATAACCACAACTCAAAAGCACTAGAAAATGAACAAAAGCAGGCCAATTCTGGATAAGACTAGACACTTGGAAAAAGATAACATTACAAGGTGAGTTACCTGTTCTTACAACTCTTAACCTGATGGCAAGGTGAAACTAATGTTGTGAAGAACACTGAAAACTCTGATAGAAAACCTGTAGTCTTAGTGGCATAAATAACCATAAAACAAAGGTCAGGGTAACCACAGCATGTTACTAGAAAGTCAGGGCAGTGATGGTGGGGGTGGGGGGAGGTGGACAGGAAATTGTGGAAAGGAGAAAGCTGGAGAGGAGGAGCCAAAATTTTTTCTTTTTTTAAAATTAATTTATTTGAGAGAGAATGTGCTCCATCCCAAGATCTGGGAATCATGACCTGAGCTAAAGTCGATGCTTAACCGACTGAGCCACCCAGATGTCCCATCAGGAGGAACCAAAATTCTTAGTAGAAAATCTGCCTGGCAGCCTGGGTGGCTCAGCAGTTTAGTGCTGCCTTCAGCCCAGGGTGTGATCCTGGAGACCTGGGATCGAGTCCCACATCGGGCTCCCTGCATGGGGCCTGCTTCTCCCTCGGCCTGTGTCTCTGCCTCTCTCTGTCACTCATGAATAAATAAATAAAACATTAAAAAGAAAAGAAAAGAAAATCTGCCTGGCCTCTGAACCACCAATGTACAGGACAGACTCCAACTAAGGATAAAGGAACTTAACTGAGCTTTAAGCTACCATCCAAGAGATGGAATCTACAGTCCATTTCCAACAGAGTCATTTGCCTGGTGTAACAAAAGCCAATAGTTTTCTGAAGAAAATAGTAGAATCCAGAATCCCCACAACATTACCTTCACAATATCCATATCCATGACCCAGATGTTGGAATCTGCATACAAGGATTTTTAAGCAGCTAGTGGAACCATGCTCAGGTATTTAAAAGAAAATATGCTTGCAATTAATGTCAAAAGAGGAAATAACAGCAGAGAAGCAAGCAAAAAAAGGACAAAATGGAAATTCTAGAACCAAAAATAAAGTATCAAAAATTTTTAGTTTCACTGAATGGGTCCAAGTGTAACATGAAGATGACAGATGTCAGTGGACTTGAAGAGAAATCAATAGATGTTATACTATCAGCAAAAGAAATAGTAAAATGATTAAAAGCATGAACATAGCCCCAGGGACCTGTGGGGCAACATCCAAAAATCTTATATGCATGTAATTAGGGTACCAAAAGGAGAGGAGAGAAAGAATGGTAAAGAAGCAATATTTAAAGAAATAATGATGGAAATTTCCCCAAATTTGATAAAGGATGTAAATTTACAGATTCAAGAATCTCACAAACCTCAAGCAGGATAAATGCAAAGAAAAACACACCTACACGCATAATACCAAATTGCAAAGAAACAAAGAAAAGATTGAAAGCAATCAGAGAGGAGCGCCTGGATGACTCAGTTAAGCATCTGACTCTTGATTTTGGCTCAGGTCATGATCTCAGGGTGGTGGGACTGAGCCCTGCAGGAGGCTCCATGCTCTGTGGGGAATCTGCATCTCCCTCTCCCTTTGCCCTTCCCCCTGCTTGTGCTCTCTCTCTCTCTCTTTCTCTTTCTAAAATAAGTAAACCTTTTAAAAAAGAAAAAGAAAGATATTCTCAGATAAATGAAAACTAAGAAAATTCATCACCATCAGACCTGTACTACGAGAAATGCTAAGTAAATCTCTTCAGGTTGAAGGGAAATATTACCAGATGGAACTCTGACCTTTAAATAAGAATGAAGATCATTAAAAATTATAAATATCTACATAAATATAAATGATAAGCTTTTTCTTTCAATTTCATAAGGCTCTTTAAAATAATAATAACATCATCTTATGGTGTTTCTAAACTTAGATATAATATATATGACAACTATAACATAAAATATAGAGGGTGTGAATGGATATGTATGGCCAAAGTTTCTGTGTTTTACATGAATTGATGCAATGTTGCCTCTAAGTAGACTGCAAAAATATTAGAGGACGCAAATCATAATCTCTAGAGCAACCATCAAGAAAATAATGCAAATAGATAAAATCAAAGAGTCAATAAAAATCAAAATTCAATTGTAATAAATATTAAAATAAACCAAAAGTCATCAGGGAAAGAGGAACAAAAACCAGAAGGACAGGTAGAAAATAAAATAAAATAGTAGTCCTAAATCCAACCAGATCAAAAATTACATTAAATGTTAAAGAACTTATATACTCCAATTCAAAGGCAGAGATTTTCAGGATGGATAAAAAAGTGAAACACAAACTCTATGCTATCTATAAGAAGTGCACTTTATTTTTTTTAAAGATTTTATTTATTTATTCATGAGAGATACAGAGAGAGAGAGAGAGGCAGAGGGAGAAGCAGGCTCCATGCAGGGAGCCCGACGTGGGACTCGAACCAGGGTCTCCAGGATCACACCCTGGGCTGAAGGGCCGCGCTAAACTGCTGAGCCACCCAGGCTGCCCCAAGAAGCACTTATGGAACTTAGTACGGAGCCCCAGGCTCACACAGGCTAATTAATATGAAGAAATCGGGCAGCCTGGGTGGCTCAGTGTTTGGTGCCACCTTGAGCCCAGAGCGTGATCCTGGAGACCCAGGATTGAGTCCCTGCATGGAGCCTGCTTCTCCCTCTGCCTATGTCTCTGCCTCTGTGTGTGTGTTGTGTGTCTCTAGTGAATAAATAAATAGAAGCTTTTTTAAAAAAATGTTCACCAGACAGAAACCACCTGTGACATACAAAGCCTGAAATATTTACGACCTTTTACAGAAACCCTTTGCTGACCACCCCTATAAATCCTATAGACGTTAAGAAATAATTAGGAAATATTATGAACAACTATTGTCAACGAGCTTGGCAAGTTAGATCAAATAAAGCATTAGAAAAATATAATTACCAAAACAGACACAAGATGAATCAGAATACCTGAATGGCTCTACATCCATTAAATTAATTGGGTTTGCTATCAAAATACTTCCCAAAGAAATTCCAGACCCAGAGAGTTTCCTAGTGAACCCTATCAAGCTTCTGATAAAGGAATAACACCAGTGTCACACAAATGCTTTCCAAAAGTAGAACAGTGACCATTTCTTAACTCACTTTTAAAGTTGGCACAACCCTCATCTAAAGCCTGATAAAATTAGAAAAAACTCCAGGCCAACAACCTTCATGAGCATAAGTGTAAAAATACTTAAAATATAAGCAGGTTGAAAATAGCATTATACAAACACGATAATTCAGATAATTCATCATGACCTGTAGGTTTTCTCCCAGAAATGCAAGATTGGCTTAACATCCTAAAATCAATGTAATTCACCATATTAGAAGGATAAAGGAGAGAAGAAGCCAAATGATTGCTTCAAGAGATACAGAAAAAAATTGACAAAATTTGACAACCATTCACAATAAAACCTTTCAGCAAACTAGGAACAGAAGGTAACTTCCTCAATCAAATAAAGGGCATCTAAAAACAAAACAAAACAAAAATCATGCCTAACATCACAGTAATGGTAAAATAGTGAATACTTTTTCTGTGATATCAAGAACAAGACAAGGATGTCAATTTAACTACTTCAATTCAGCATTTTTTGGGAAACACTAACATCAAAAAGGCCAAAAGAAAGAAATGAAAGGAATAAAAACAAGAAAGACAATTAAACTGTCTCTATTGCCAGATAACATTACATAGAATGTCCTAAGGAATCTCTAAAACAACTGCTACAACTACTAAATTCATAGGATCCAAAATTAGGTGATAGAGACATAGAATATCAACTTTATTTTCATATTTAACAAAATACATGTGATACTACTCCACTTAAACTATAAAACATTTTGATACTATTCTGCTTAAAACTATAAAACATAGGGACACCTGAGTGGCTCAGTTAACTGTCCAACTCTTGATCTCAGCTCAGGTCTCAATTTCATGGTGATGAGTCCAAGCCCCACATTGGGCTCCATGTTAGATATAAATAAATAAATTTATTCCTAAATATTTTATGTTTTCTGATGTTGCAAATGGAATTTTTGTTAATTTAATTTTACAATTGTTTGCTACAAGAATATAAAAATAAAGTTGATATTCTATGTCTATCTCTATCATCTAGGAGTAAGTACACTTGTGATGAGCACTAGGTGATGTATGGAAGTACTAGATCACATTATTGTACACCTGAAACTAATATAACACTGTATGCTAATGAGCTAGAATGAAAATTAAAACTTAAAAATAATAAATAAATAAATAAATAAATAAAGTACAAAACTTGGTAAGGGAAATTAAAATCAACCTGAGTAAATGTTCCTGGATGAGAAGACTTAATATTCCTAAGAAATCAATTCTCCCAAAGTTCATCAATAGCTTCAACTCAACCCCAATCACTTTTCACATGTTTCTTTTTTGCACACATTGATAAGCACATTTGAAAATTCTTACGGACACAGGAAAGGCCTACAATAACCAAAGCTATATTGAAAAAGAACAAAGTTGAAGGGCTCACACTACCTGACTTCAAGACTACAGTAATCAGGACAGTATGATAATGGCATAAGCATCTACAAAAAAATTAATGGAACAGAGTAGAAAGTTCAGAAACAGACCTACATCTGCATGGGTATTTGATTTTTTGTCACCAAAGCAAGCCAATGGGGAAACAAAGGTCTTGAATAAATGGTGCTGGAATAAGTGGGTATCTATATGGAACAAAATGAACTTGAAACCATATGCTACACTATATCTCCTCACATCATACATAAAATTTAATTCAATTAAGTTTATAGCCCTAACCATTAAAGCTGAAACCATAGATTTTTAAAGGAAAGCATAGAATATTTTCATGACCTACTAGTAGGCAAAGATTTCTTAGACAAGTCACAGATTGTTTATAAAAGAAAGAACTGATAAATTATACCCCATCAATGGTAAAACTTATGCTCATCAAAAGACACCACTGAAGGCGTGCCTGGGTGGCTCAGTTTGTTAAGCATCCAACTCATGACTTCACCTCAGATCATGATCTCAGGGTCATGAAGTGGAGCTCCATGTTGGGCTCTGCACTCAGCATGGAGTCGGCTTGAGATTCTCACCTTCTCTCTCTGCCCCAACCCCCCCCCATCTCCCAAAACAAAAAAGATAACACTGAGAAATGAATAGGCAAGTCACAGAGAAAATACTTTCAAAACATATATCTGATAAATGCCTTGTATCCAGAATATATAAAAAAAAATACTTACAACTCAATAAGAAGACAACAATCCAATTTAAAAGTAGGCAAAAGATTTTAACAGATATGTCACTGAAGAAAATACCCAAATGGTCAATACAAAAATGAAAACTCAAACTAATGCAGCACTGTGTGTCAACTGTACTTTGATTTTATTTTTTTAATTTTTAAAAGATATTTATTTATTTATTTATTTATTTGACAGAGAGAGAGAGAGCATAAGCAGGCAGAGTGGCAGGCAGAGGGAGAAGGAGAAGCAGGTTCCCCACTGAGCAGAGAGCCCAACGTGAGACTTGATGCCAGACCCTGGGACCATGACCCGAGCCAAAGGTAGATGCTTAACCAACTGAGCCACCCAAGCATCCTATACTTTAATTTTTTTAAAAAGAAAAATCACTCCACAATCCACTTTAGAAAACAACATGAAAGGTTCTTACAAATTTAAACTTATATCTTATGAAACAGCAATCCCATTCCTAGGTATTTACTCAAGATATATGAAAATATATATCCATATAGAGACGTTTATATGAATGTTCAATGCAGTATTTATTGTTCATGATAGCCAAAAACTGGAAACAACCCCATGGCCATCAGTAGGAGACTAGACAAATAATCTTTGGTAAATCCATACAATGGAATATTATTCAGCAATAAAAAAGAATAAACTATAGAAACAAAAGAATGCTACATGAAAGCAATCTTATATGAGACAGTACATATTATATAATTCCATTTATACAAAGTTCTAGAACAGGCAAAACTATGGTGGAAAATATCAGAACAGTGGTTGCCAGTGGAGGTAGTAGCTGTGGGGATTGTGGTGTGATGGAAAGGGCCCAGACTTTAAAGCCAGGCATAGGTTGAATCTTGGCTCAGCCATTAGACTCTGTGTCCTTGAGCATGTTACTTAACTGCTCTATCTCCTTATCTGTATAGACCATAGCTCAATGCTCCAACATATAATAAGTACTCCAGAAATGGTAGCTAATAATAAAGTAACATGAGATGATTTTGGGTCACAGAGCCAAAGGTGGTGTCATTGCACACCTTGTGGACACCATTCAAACCAAAGTGTTAGCCTACTAAAGGTTCTATCTGAATCTACCCTAGGATATTTGTATTTTCATAGGGGTCCCTTGAAGACTAAGATCTTTAAAAAGTATCTCCTCTCCCTCCCAAAGAAGTTTTGCAATAGTGCTTGCCTGATTTGTTCTCAGTTCCCTGGGCTGGACTCACCTCAGGGTCTGTGCCTTCTTCATAGGACTGAATGCTGAAGGCCATGCCTTCAAATGTGTGGTCCACCCGCAGGACAGCCAATGCCAGCCTGGCTACCATCAGATTAGCTGTCCTCCCAGAAAACTCCATCTTGTGACCAGCACGCTCAATTATCCTCAGAATTCTGCAAGGAACCGCAGGGAGAAAAGAGCACTCCTACTGCTTTAATATAAAACCTATTCTCCTTATGAGATTTCCTCAATGTAAGACTTTTCCTTTAGGTTTATTCACTGTCTTTATATTGTTTAGGAATTATTAAATAAGAGCACTGGCTTTGGAGTCAGACAACCTGAGGTCTAAATCTTAGTTCCTCTAATTTCTAACTGCGTGGGCCAATAAAATAATGTGGTTGAGCTTCAGTTTCTTCACCTGCAAGCTGGAGGTAATACTAGCACTCCTCTCACAAGGTGGTTCTCAAGATTAAATGACATTGTTATATATAAAGCTAGATCCTGCATGGCCCCATAGGCCAAGAAATTTGGATTTTATTCTATGTGTAACAGAAAGCCACCGAGGGGCTTTAAAAGCAAAAGAATGACATGATCTGATATGTGCATTAAAATATCCTTCTGGCTGCCATATAGAAGAAAGACCATAGAGAAGCAAGCATAGAGGGGAAGGAGCCCAATTATGAGGTTACTGTAGGTCAGCTGAGAGGTATGAGGCTGGGGACTAGGGTGGTGGTGATGGTGGGGATGGACACAAGTAGATGGGTTACAGGAATATTCCAGGGCTTAAAAATATCACATCCAATGTCTCTTACAAGACTTGGTTTTTGATTGGCTATGAGGTAGAGAGAGGTGACTTATTATTCCCAAGCTTTTTGCTTGAGCACGGGGTGGATGCATTTTATAGAAATTGGGGGACCAGGGATCCCTGGGTTGCTCAGCGGTTTAGCGCCTGCCTTCAGCCCAGGGTGTGATCCTGGAATCCCGGGATCAAGTCCCACATCAGGCTCCCTGCATGGAGCCTGCTTCTCCCTCTGCCTGTGTCTCTGCCTCTCTCTCTCTCTCTCCCTCTGTGTGTGTGTGTGTGTGTGTGTCTTTCATGAATAAATAAATAAAATATTTAAAAAAAAGAAGTTGGGGGACCACCAGGACTGGGAAAATAGAGTGGAGGTTTGGCTTGAGGCAACTATCTATTTGAAAAGCTGCTGTGATTAAGGTTCAGTTAGAATTTTGTGATGCGGGATGCCTGGGTGGCTCACCAGTTGAGCATCTGCCTTCAGCCCGGGGTGTGATCCTGGAGACCCGGGATCGAGTACCACATCGGGCTTCCCGCATGGAGCCTGCTTCTCCCTCTGCCTGTGTCTCTGTCTCTCTCTCTGTGTGTGTCTCTCATGAATAAATAAATAAAATCTTTAAAAAAAAGAATTTTGTGATGCATTCTTCACAATTGAGATTTGAGTGGATGACCTCATTGCATTGTAATAATAACTCAGCTTTCTATGCATAGCCACCTGACCTTGAAAATTTGGTGGACTGTATGCAAAGGAATGAATAACAAATATTATACATGTTATGAAATAACTTATTTTACCAAAGTATTAGTACTTACTCATTTCTTACTTCATGCAGATCAGATGCTGAATTGTTTTGCTTTCCCAAAACAGCATTGATTATTTGTAATATAACCTGGGTTAGATTCATACTTATCTCATGACATTGTGAAACATCAGATACTTTAGAAACAATAATCTTTGTTTCTTCTTCATCCAGAAGAGGGGATTCATTTATTAAATTAAAAATGTGCTCTGCAACATCATCCACATTCTCTGGGGAAAGAAAATTGTAATAGAAAACCTGCATTACTTAGTTTGAGGCCATGCTGGTCTACTTCCTTCCCTTTAAAAAGTAAAGGCAGTCAAATGCAAATATCTACCCAGGCAGCAAAATTTACAGTAAAAAAATGCTGGACTTCAATTTCTACAATAGGCAGAGTCCCAGAAAATAGCACATAAGTCAAGTTTTTATTCATTAAATCCTTTTAAAAATACACCAGGGAAACCTTTTTGTCACTGAAGATCATCTTGCAATTAGATTCTAATTAAGTTAAGACTTTTCAGTATTGGATTGAGTTAAGTAGATCCCACCTGTACTAAAATATCAGCAAACACTCAGTCTGTGTTTTCATTATCAAGGGTGGTGATGATATTTGTCTGTCAAGAACCAGCAACCACAGAAAAGAAAAGTAAATATGGACCACATATAATAAAGAGCATCTTAATTTAGATTTTTTTAGAGAGAGTAAGAACAATAGATATTAACTCGCCCACTTTTTTCTTCACTTTTTATTATGGAAATTTTCATACATGCACAAAAGTAGAAAGAATAGTATAATGAGTCCCCATGTACCTCATGAATCACCTAGCTTCAACAAGTGTCAATGAAGAGCTAATCTTATTTTATCTACACTCTCACCCACCTTCCCCCAACCCCAGAATATTTTAAAGCAAATCCCAGACATATAATTTCATCCATAAATACTTTAGTATGCATCTCTAAAACAAAAGACCTGTTTGTCATAACCATAGTGCCAGTATTTGTTAAATTAATACAACACAAATTAAATTCTAGTTCAATATAAGCGATATAAAGCTAAGCTCCTTGTGGTGCCCTCTTAGCTTAAAGCATTCACACTTAAGTCCAGTAACCAAAATACAATGGAAAATAATCAAGAAATAACAATGCATTGAGAAAAAGTCCAGAGAGAGATTTACTCATAACACACTTAACCTGGATTACATTACAAATAACCAAGTCTGGGGACACCTGGGTGGCTCAGTGGTTGAGCATCTGCCTTTGGCTCAGGGCATGATCCTGAATCCGGGATTGAGTCCCACATCAGGATTCCAGCATGGAGCCTGCTTTTCCCTCTGCTTATGTCTCTGCCTCTCTCTGTGTGTGTGTGTGTCTCATGAATACATAAATAAAATCTTTTTAAACCCCCCCCAAAAACAAATAACCAAGTCTATTTGAGAAAACAAGATAAATTACCAAAATAAAATAAAATAAAAAATAAATTACCATAAACATCCTCCTTTTTCTCTCTCCCTTCTCCCCCCCCAAACAACTCTCTGTCCTTGTCAATGTAAATTAAGCAATCTTAACTGAAATTCTATCAATTTCCCCCCCTTAACAATTTACTTCAATCTGCCCAACAACGGCCTCCCCTAGGAACTTAGATGGAAGAAAGAGGGAGGTTGAACAAGGTTGTAATTACTTCTAAATTAATATTTTGTCCTTGTTACATCTATCTTCTGGTCAGTTAAAGAAACAGAAAACAAGAAGACAGGGAATGGAAGAAAAATGTAGCACTCTCATTCACAGATCTTTCTTTTTCTTAAGATTTTATTTATTTATTCATGAGAGACACACAGAGAGAGAGAGGCAGAGACACAGGCAGAGGGGAAAGCAGGCTCCATACAGAAAGCCTGATGTGGGACTCAATCCCAGGTCTCCAGGATCACACCCCGGGCTGCAGGGGGCGCTAAACCACTGCGCCACCGGGGCTGCCCATTCACAGATCTTTCTATCACTCATTAAATCTTCAGGCTTTCCTGTAAATGGGAGAGCCAGAGCTGCCCACCTGGAGTATTCTTTGGACCTCAGTGGTGTGACTTTACTTCATGCAGTCCTTGCTGTCTCAGAAGGAAAGTAAACAACAGGTCAATGGGAGACTAACTATATTGTGGAAAGTAATTGTAGAGTTATATGTTTTTTTAAGTCAAATTCAGGACAAATTACTCATTGTGTAAAAATTTTAAGTCCTCAAGCAAAAGCAGCAAAAACAATCCTCCCTTATTTGCTGTAAAATAAATAGACCCCCCCCATTGCTTCAAATAGTTTCAATTAATCTGCCAATAATTGCAGCAATCAAAACAATAATATCTGTTATTTATTAATTTCTATGAGTCAGTATTGCAGTTGTCTACAGCTGCATAACAAACCACCCCAAAACATCACAACTTCAAACAAGAATTCATTATTATCCCTCACGGTTCTGTGTGTTGACCAGTTTCAGCTGCGTGGTTCTGATTTACAGTCTCTCATCTGGTTGCAGTCAGATGGTAGCTGGAATTAGAGTCATCTGAATACTAGACTGTCTGAGACAGCTCACTCATATGGCTGGCAGTTGATGCTCATGGACTAGTCACTTGGGGCTGTTGTCCTTTGAGGGTCAATTGAGGCTGTTCCTGACACATGGCCTCTCCCAGCGGCTTAGGCTCAGTGGTATGCTGGATCCAGCCTGTGGTATACTGGAACCAGCTGCTATCAACTTGTCAGAACGAATTGTAAATTTTCGGGAATTTTGTGAGCTGGTTGTTAAACACAACCATTATTGAAAATTAAATTATATCAACTTTTAATTAAATAAATTTTATGGTAAACAATGGTGATACTCAAGAATCATCACTTCCTAATAATTCTGCTACATTTTAATAATCTATGCTTTGGTAATTATTTATATCTATGGTACCTGTGTATCTCTTACCAACTTCATGCTCAGTAATTGCATGTTGTAGTTTGTATTCAGCCATCAGGGGATATTACACCAAGGAAACCAACAGATGGAGCAAAATTACCTTTTTTTGGCAGAGATGGTTGTTAACTATTTTCTAGCACACCACTGTTGAGGCTTCTTATAGCATGGTGTCTGGGTTCTGAGAGGAAGAATCCCAAATGAGAGCATACAAGAGAAAGGAAGCAGAAATTTCCAGTCCCCTTAAAAGTTAGTCCCAAAATTGGCACAGTGTCACCACTGCCAAATTCTACTGGGCTAAGTAGTCACAAGGCAGCCCTGATTCAACTTCTAATTGACAAGGAGGGAATGAGTTGATGGTGGGCATTTTGGAGACAAGATACCCCAAGACATTATACATACATTCTCCAATTTAATCATCACGATAGCCCTGTGTGATGGGTACTAATATTATTCCCTTTATACAAATAAGAAATTATGACACAGAGATTCTAACTCAGGCCTCTTTGATTCCAAAGCTAGCGTTTTTAAATATCACTTTCTACTACAGCATCTGTGCCTTTGTCCCTTTTCTCCACAGTTTGGGGGTTGGAACAGCTGTGCTTCCCAGTTCTCCCTGTCATCCTTGGAATTACATCGTTCTCTCTCTACCATGCACTGTCTTACCCCAGCGGCGGGATGGACACACACAAGAGACAGCTTTGTGGAAAGCTCCAGGCAGCTTCGTTAGAGTGTGATGCATCTTAAATATTTTGAAGGTCACAAAAACTGGGCAAAGAATCCACAGACCTTTGAAATAAGATACCTTTTTGAACTCTGTGATATTAAGGAGTTACACGAAATGAGCATTTAACTGGGGAACTGACAAGTTTTTCTCCAACCAAGATATCTAATGCTTGTCAGCAAGATTGAAAGCTAAAGAAAAATTGTTACAACGTGAATGCATTTTCTTTCTCTGACATTGTACTCATTTTTCATGAACTTCCTAACTTACAAGGAGAAGCATTCCTCCAAAGTGAATAAATCTGATCACTTATTTTTTAGTTATGTACATTACAGCCACCACACGACTGTTCTCATCCTCTGCAGATTTTTTTAAATAAAGTGACTTTTGACAGTTAATTTTCTAAAAATCCTAACCCAGTGCCATGCTTTTCCTATTGTTATGGTTGTTTAACTTTTTCTCCTATGGAGAAAATTCTATTAACGTGTCTAGGAAAAATGTGTCGCCCAGAGGAGGGAGGTCAGCACAAAACACAGCCCTCTCTAACTTGTTGTGCACTCACTTCACGTTGCAACCCTTCCTAGTGTCCTGACTCATGATTTCAGACCTAGAAACCATCAGACCTGTGCTTACTTTTCTAATTTTTCTGCATATTCCTTGGCAAGGATCTCAAATTTCCATCTTCTGCAAGGAAGACAAGTCCGAGGAGTTCACTGCCTCAAGACAATTCCCTGTCCTGCAAGGCACTGGAATGCCTGCGCCTCACTTTTCAACTAGTCGAATGGGGGGGGTGCGCTTCACACGCTAGAGCTATGCCTGACAAGATATGTACAGACTGAAATCCGATGAGGGAAACTACCCACGCTTTCAAAACAGTGATAAGGAAGGGCAATACTTTAAGAATAGGACTGCAAGGGGAGGTTGGGGGAAAGTTCACAAAGCGCTCTATCTATTACACTGGTCAAAATTAGCAAAGACAATCATTCAAAGTCGGTGGAGGTGGGCAGCCCAGGTGGCTCAGTGGTTTAGCGCTGCCTTCAGCCCAGGGCATGATCCTGGAGTCCCGGGATCGAGTCCCACATCGGGCTCCCTGCATAGAGCCTGCTTCTCCCTCTGCCTGTGTCTCTGCCTCTCTCTCTCTCTCTCTCTTTCTCTCATGAATAAATAAATAAATAATCTAAAAAAGCCCCACAAAGTCTCTGGAGGTTGATTAGAGATCTTACAACCAATTGAGATGTATTTTATCAATAAAATCTCTGGAAACTTGGTCAGTACAGTGGGAAACCATAGCATTTGAGCTAGGAACTGTGGCCGTCTCCCAGAGCTCTGCCTGGTGGAAAAATTGCTCCATTGGGCTAGGCAGCTGAGTGGTAGTTACCATCTCCCCCAGGTCCCTGGGGTAGAAGAACTATTCTCAGTGGATTATGAGGGCCAGTGAGCATTGGAAGTTCCCATATTTCTGACTCCAGTCTATGGAAGATCCATACTGGGCAGTGGCAGCAGCTGACTGCCAGCAATTAGTCCCCATCCCACTCACACTCACACACAGCCCCTGTTCCACAGGGAAAACCCAGGTGGAGGATCTTTTGAAGGAAACATTCATTACCCCACCATCTCCCAAGCTCTTCCCCCTTAGGACAGATATTTTTTTCACAGTGAAGGGTAAGAGAAAGCTTCAAAGACTGGCAATATTCTATCCCTGCCAAAGGGACAGGCTATAATGGGATCAGATTCTGGAGCAACTTATGCCCCAGGGCTTTGTCAAAAACAACAAAGCCATCAAGACACCTGGGTGGATCCCAGGATCCTAGGATCAAGTCCTGCATCAGGCTCCCCACAGGGAGCCTGCTTCTCCTTCTGCCTATGTCTCTGCCTCTCTCTGTGTGTCTCTCATGAATAAATAAAGTCTTTAAAAAAAAAAACCCAGAGCCATCAACTAGCAATTAGGAGGCTAACAGCTGGGTGTGATACTGAGACACGTGAACCATCCAGAAGCTTAGCAGAGAGATCCAAGAAACAGAGAGAACCTAGCTAGGACCACAGTCATCCCTGGCATCCAGGGAGAATGCTTACAAGCCCAAAGCTGCATCTTCTAAGGAGAAGCATCAGAAGATGTACACTTCAGGGACAACAGGCTTCACTGAACTAGTCCAGCCAATGGTATCTTTTGTAGAAATAGAAAAGGCAATTCTGAAATTCATATGGAACCACAAACACACACACAAACAAAATAGTCAAATCAATCTTGAGAAATTCAAACAAAGACATCAAACTCCTCGATATCAAGATAAATACAAAGCTACAGTAATCAAAACAGCATAGTACTGGTATAAAGACAGACCAGGCAGCCCGGGTGGCTCAACGGTTTAGTGCTGCCTTCAGTCCAGGGCCTGATCCTGGGAGACCTGGGATCGAGTCCCATGTCAGGCTCCCTGTATGGAGCCTGCTTCTCCCTCTGCCTGTGTCTCTGCCTCTCTCTCTCTCATGAATAAACATAATCTTTTTTTAAAAAAAAGACAGACCTATAAAACAATGGAACAGAATAGAGAAGCCAGAAACAAATCCACAATATACCATCAACTGATCTTCAATAAGAGAGCAGATGAATGCCTGGATGGCTCAGTGGGTTAAGCGTCTGTCTTCAGCTCAGGTCATGATCCTGGGGTTCTGGGATTGAGCCCCATGTCGGGCTCCCTGCTTAGTGAGGTCCCTGCTTAGTGAGGAGCTTGTTTCTCCTTCTCCTTCTGCCCCCTGCTTGTGCTCTCTCTCACTCTCTCTCTCTATCTCAAATAAATAAATAAAATCTTGGGGTGCCTGGGTGGCTCAGCCGGTGAAGTGTCTGCTTTCAGCTCAGATCATGATCCCAGCATCCTGGAATTGAGCCCTGCATCAGGCTCCCTGCTCAGTGGGGAGTCTGCTTCTCCCTCTCCCTTTGCCCTTTCCCTCTCCCTCCTCGTGCTCTCTCTTTCTCTCACTCTCTCTCAAATAAATAAATAAAATCTTTTAAAAAAAGATCTTTTAAAAAAAGATTTTATTTATTTATTCATGAGAGAATGAGAGAAAGAGAGAGAGGCAGAGGAAGAAGCAGGCTTCATGCAGGGAGCCCGACATGGGACTCGATCCCGGGACTCTAGGATCACGCCCTGGGCCGAAGGCAGGCACTAAACCGCTGAGCCATCCAGGGATCCCCCAATAAGTAAAATCTTTATTAAAAAACACAATGAGGGCTGCCCGGGTGGCTCAGCGGTTTAGTGCCTGCCTTCGGCTCAGGGTGTGATCCTGGAGACCCAGGATCGAGTCCCACGTTGGGTTCCCTGCATGGAGCCTGCTTCTTTCTGCCTGTGTCTCTGCCTCTCCCTCTCTCTCTCTCTCTTTCTCTGTCTCTCATGAATAAATAAATAAAATCTTTTAAAAATAAAATTAAAATTAAAAACACAATGAGATATCACTTCACAACTGTCAGGATGACTATTATCAGAAATCAAGAGATAACACAGTATTGTCAAGGGTGTGGAGAAAAGGGTATCCTGGTACACTGTGTGTGGGAATGTAAATTGGTGCAGCCATTATGGAAGACAGTATGGAAGTGCCTCACAAATTAAAAATGGAACTACCACATGATCCAGTAATCTCACTTGTGTATGTATATTCAGAGGAACTAAAATCACTGTCTCAAAGAGATATCTGCACTCACGTGTTCATTACAACATTATACACAATAGTCAAGTTATGGAAATAATGTAACTGTCCATCTAGAGATAAAGAAAATGTCACACACATACACACACATTGGAATATCATTCACCTTCAGAAAGGAGGAAATCCTGCCACTTGCGACAACATGGATGTACCTGGAGACACTATACTAAGTGAAATAAGCCAGACACAGAAAGACAAATATTGCATGATCTCACCTATATGGGGAATCTAATACAGTCAAACTCCCAGAAGCATAGAGTTGAACCATGGTTGCCGGGAGCTGGCGGAGGAGAAATGGGGAGTTGCTAATCAACAGGCATAAAGTTTCAGTTAAGCAAGATGAATAAGTTCTGGAGGTCAGCCTTACAACATTGTACTTTAAGAATTTGTCAAGAGGATAGATCTCATGGTAAGTGTTCTCACTACAACAAAATAAAATTAAAAGAAGAAAGAAAGTGGATTAGAGGTTTCCAGGGGCTGCAGGGAGAGGGTAATGAGAGTGCCTGCTAATGTGTATGGGGTTTCTTTTTGGAGTGATCAAAATGTTCTGGAATTAGCAGTGACTGTTGCTAACAGTCTAGCGAATATGCTAAAAACCATGGAATTATACCTGTTAAATGGGTAAAATTTTATGATATGTGAATATCTTCAAAAAATTTTTAAACTGCAATGAGATATCAATTTCTACTTATCAAATCAGCAAAGATCCAAAAATCTGATAGCATACTGTGTTGATGAAGGTATCTGGAGACAGGTGCTTTCATACCTTGCAAGTGGGAGTATGAACTAGTGCAAGCATTACAGAGAGCATTTTGACGCCATCAAAGTATGACTGACCCAGCAATTCTACTTTTAGGAATTTATGTTTCAAGTATAACCCACTTTTGCAAAATGACATATGTACAATATCCATTACAGCAGTTTTGTAAGAATAAAATGTTATTAATAGCTTAAATGCCCACCCACAGGAAATAGGTTAAAGAAATAAATTGTGGCATATCCATGCAGTATAATATAATGCAGTGATAAAAAGCATGAGGAAGCTCTTTATATACTAAAATGATAATTTCTGCAATATATTGTTAACAAAAAGCAAGGTGCAGAGTACAATGGATACCAAGCTCCACTTTGTGTACTAAGAGGGAGGGAGAATATACATGTATATGTATATGCATACATATGGTGTGCGTATGTGTAAATTTCCTCATAGATACATGAAATATTTCTGTGGATATTTATTAAATGCCTGGTGTCAGCAATAAGAAGATGTTTCACTGTATATCCTTTTTGGTTTTGCAACATTGAACTATGTGAAGAATTACCTATTAAAATTGTTTTGAAGGATGCCTGGGTGGCTCAGCGGTTTGAGCATCTGCCTTTGGCTCAGGGAGTGATCCCAGTCAGGGGATCAAGTCCCACATCGGGCTCCCTGTGAGGAGCCTGCTTCTCTCTCTCTCTCTCTGTCTCTGTCTCTGCTTCTCTCTTTGTCTCTCAGGAATAAATAAATAAAAATCTTCTAAAAAATAAAAATAAAATGGTTTTGGTTTTTAAAATAGTTTATTTATTTATTTATTTATTTATTTATTTATTTATTTATTTGAGAGACAGAAGGAGGGAGGGGCAGGAGGAGAGGGAGAGAACCTCCAGCAGACTCCACACGAAGCTCAGAGCCCCACTTGGGGCTCAATCTCACAACCCTGAGATTGTGATCTGAGCCAAAACCAGGCACCCTACTGAGCCACCCAGGCACCACAAAACTGTTTTTGTAAAGATTTATTTATTATTTAAGAGAGAGAGAGTGGTGTGCAAGTGAGTAGGTAGAGGAGCTAAGGGAGAGGGAGAAAGAGAGAATCTTAAGCAGACTCTCTGCTAAGCATGGAGCCCGAGGTGGGTTCTCTCTCACCACCCTGAGATCATGACCTGAGCTGAAACCGAGTCAGATGCACTCAGGCACCCCCCTATTAAAACTGTTTTAGGGGCACCTGGGTGGCCCAGTGGTTGAGCACCTGCCCTCGGCTCAGGTCATGATCTTGGGGTCCTGGGATAGAGTCTTGCATGGATAAATAAATAAAATCTTTTTAAAAACGGTTTTAAAATGAAAAATAATAATTAGCCAAAAATTATATAATAAAAAACACTAGAAAGCAAAAAACACTGATGGTCCCAACTTAGCATGCCCCACTCCCACCAACATTAAGTACCTAGTTTCTGAAATCGGATCTTTGTGAGGTAGATTTTCCTACCATGAGGCTTGCCTGTACCCTCTCGTCTCAGGTCAAGCAGACGAACTAACCAAGGTTCCATTATTTCATTAACGTGTACAGAACAGTCTTACCATCACTGATAGTAATGTTAGCAAGATCCATGATCTTATCAGGAAGTCCTTGAAGCAGTTTGCATTGTTTCAACTTTGGTTTTTCCCACTGAGATTTGCCAGTATTGATATTGATTGAGCTGAAAAAGAAAGGAGAGAGGCGCAAAAAGCCTTCTCATTGGAGAATGAGGCCAGAATAGTCTTAAAGTAAACAAATAAGGGACACCATGTAGCTTTGGCATGCCTCCCCTCTGCCCACTCCCAGCCGCTGGGCTGAGATAGGGTAGAGTCTGGTCTCTGAAGTAGCTTCTCGAAACTTGGTTGTTCCAGTCTGTAAATGTAACTACATTTATTAGGCAAGGTAGAAGTTGAAACACTGTATCAACAGAACTGAATCTATCAAACCACCAAGCAAGGAGAACTTATTTGCAACTTTTGAGCCAAGCTGGACGCTAAAAGAACAGAGACGGAGGGGGATCCCTGGGTGGCTCTGCGGTTTGGCGCCTGCCTTCAACCCAGGGTGTGATCCTGGATTCCCGGGATCGAATCCTGTGTCGGGCTCCTTGCATGGAGCTTGCTTCTCCCTCTGCCTGTGTCTCTGCTTCTCTCCCTCTCTCTGTGTCTCTCATAAATAAATAAAATCTTAAGGAAAAAGAACAGAGATGGAGAAAGGCTCCCCTGCCCTGAAGCAGAGCAAATAGCACAAGCAGAGAAAGAGACACAAGGAGGCACCCATTGGAGTCCAGAATAGCAAATGGCCCTTTTTGGCCGGCATGCATGGTAAAAAGGGAGCTTGCAGGTCTTGAGCACTGTATTTTGGAGTTTGGACTTAATACTTGGGGCAACATGGAACCAGAGCAGGGGGAAGGTGAGGAGACTGCTCTAATAGTAGACAAGGGGTAATAGTAAGAGTCTGCACTGGGGTCGTGGCAGTGGGGATGGAAAGGAAAGGCTACATGGGAGCTCTGACTGTGATCACAAAACCAGCATGATTTGCTGACTGATTAGATGTATGAAGAGAGTAGGACCCAGTCCAAGATATTGCCTTCCAACAGAGAGCTTTTAAGCCTCTGTCAAAACCTGCTGCCCTTCTGGTCTGCCTACTTAAGTTAATGGCATAAACCATTAACAGCAGAGAGTCAGAGAAGAGAGACTGATGATTTAAAGAAGGAAAATGATAAGGCAACAATAGAAGGGTGATTTAGTAAATTATTATGGCCCATCAACGAGGTAGATTCTGAAGCAATTTTTCGAAATGGTCATTAAGAAGAAGAACAGAAAACATAGAAAATGTTTGATCAACTATTGAGTGAAAAGGTAAATCACATTATTGAGATGAGGATGGTGATTACTGCTACATAAAATTCCATAAAACTTAAAGGCACACAGGGAACAGAGAGATGAAAAAAAAAATCTGCCAACCTAAAGCCAGCTGTGTTCAGGTGGCGGGATTGTAGGTTACTTTTTCTCTTTTGTCTTCTTGAATATTTTTCTAGAATGCTCTTAGGTTACCTGCGTATACTTAAGTCAGTCCAAAGGGTGAAAGAAGGCGGGATGGAGTAGAGGGGAAGGCGGGAGCCCGCTCAGACAAATGACAGAAGCGTGGCCCCAATTAAGTAGATCTTTGAGTCTCTGAACCAGCAATTAGAACTTGGCCAATACGTACCAGATTCTAGTAGCATTTCCATTCCTGTTTTTTATGCATCTAGTTTGGGCTGTCTCAGTAGGGTTGGTTAAGAGCCATTTATAGGTTCCTTTGTATTTAGAGACTGTCTCCTGGGCTTCACACTTTCCCGGCTCTACAGAGAAACACCACAAGTAAACACCAGCAAATAAAAGAGGAAACTTTTTCTACCAGGCCATTTAAACCAAGGCTTCACTGAAAATACATGAAATGCTGCCTTAAAAAAAAAGCCTCCCAGGTGGTGCCTGGGTGGCTCAGTAGGTTGAGCATCGGCCTTCCACTCAGGTCATGATTCCAGGGTCCTAGGATCCAGCCCTTCATTGGGCTCCCTGCTCAGTGGAGAGTCTGCTTCTCCCCCTCCCTCTGCCCCTCCCCACTGCTTGTGCTTGCTCTCTCAAGTAAATAAATAAAATGTTTAAAAATATAATAAAATAAAATAAGCCTCCTGGGAAAAACTCACACTTAGCCCTTTTCATTAAAACCACAAGTTGAGGGTCCCTGGGTGGCTCAGCGGTTTGGCACCTGCCTTTGGCCCAGGGCGCGATCCTGGAGACCCGGGATCGAATCCCACATCGGGCTCCCGGTGCATGGAGCCTGCTTCTCCCTCTGCCTGTGTCTCTGCCTTTTTCTCTCTCTGTGTGTGACTATCATAAATAAAAAAAAAAAACACCACAAGTTGACAGGACAGTTTTTTTGTCTTGGTTTTTTAAAATGCTACATTTTGGGACACCTGGGTGACTCAGTGGTTGAGCTTCTGCCTTTGACTCAGGGTGTGATCCTGGAGTCCTGGGATTGAGTCCCACATCAGGCTCCCTGCGTGGAGCCTGCTTCTCCCTCTCCCTGTGTCTCTGCTTCTCTCTCTGTCTCTCATGAATGAATAAATAAAATCTTTTAAATAAATAAAATAAAATAAAAATGTTGCATTTGCATTGAAAAAAATTCAGGCCACACACAAAAAATCTTAAGTCCTCAACCTGCCAACTGCCCTCCTTCTGAGGTATCCACTGTTAGTGACAGGAAACCAAAGGGTGACTTCTCCTTCTGGGTAGTTCCTCCCTTCCTAATGCACTCTGGGGTGGATTTGGTTTTAGTAAACCCAGTGTATCTGCCATTGCCAATATTAGACACAAGAGCTCTGCTCTGCTGGTGGTGTGCCAAAGGCAAGGTATTGCTGCCAAGTGTCACATTAAGGGAGAAGTGACCTGGGCTAAGTGTGTGGTAAGTTTCCAGTTTCTACTGACCACCCACTGGGTTTGTGACCCTGATTCCAGAAATCTTTTCTTCAGGTATTGACAGAGTGGCCAGGAGAAGTGGCCCAGTCAGCCTCGTCTGGCCATGCCAGCTTCCTCTGAGGACAGCCATCAAAGCCATTTGCAAGGTGGGCTCTGCCTGTGGCTTCTATGTTTCTCTGCCTCCCATCTCACTGTCACTTGGGATCACAGCCTGCCCTCTGCTACCTAATCAGTTTGTTGCCAAGGATTGTGTGTTCTAACGCCTCTGTGTGTTATCTGGGTTAGCCTGATGTTTTTCCTGCAGTCCACTGGGGAAAAGTAAGAGAGCTGGCAGCCATGGGCAAGGAGATTGGAGTGGTCTAATAGCCTTCCTCTTTACCATTAAAGGAAAGAAATGCCCGTGAGACAAATTCTGGACTGTTCCCAAATCACTTTACTGGATGAATAGCCTGGCTATATCAATCAATAAATTAGCAAGCATCTATTGGACAACTATCGTGTGGAATGAGGAAGCTCCCCAGGCCTCTGGGTATTTATACAAGAGAGACAATCCTCCCACTCTGTTGATAGACTGGCCACTGCTGATAGCCAGAACTGACCAATTGTCTCTGGTAACCCCTTCGTATTTTTCATCAGCTCTTCCGGGTAGGAAGGTTGTCAGGGCAACTGAGCACTGACAATGTGGAAAGGAACATGAAGACAATCCCCCCCCTCCCCGCCTTGTCAGAACTCAGGATGTGTTACTATGCATGCATTATAACCTTTACAATAATGGGAGTGAATGTGTATGGAATACTACCCCCCCCCCCCAGTTACCTAGTTTTTCCACAACGTGTTCAGATTTCACTAATAACGTTAGTTGACCTTGGGTGAAGTTTCCATGTGTGAGGTTGTCATGTATTTTACGTTTGATCCTGCTCATCAATTCGATGGCTGCTAAAGAAGAGCTGGCCTTTAGGATAGCCCGACAAACATAGCTAAAGAGCAGAGCAGAAAAGAACCATGTTGCAGAGAGTCAACATAGTGCCACTTGGCCCGTGGTGCTGAAATTCTACACAGATGACTAAATTGAGAGTCCATAAATAGCAAACATTTTACATCTATTAAGTGGCAAATCTTAAGAAATGATGGAAGACAACATATTGAAATCTTCTGATAAATTTTCATATGCAAAAAAACAAAACGCATTTTCAAAAGAACAGTCAGCAACATTTGCATTATAATAAAATCAACTTGCGGCACCTATGTGGCTCAGTTGGTTAAGCCAGGCTCTTAGTTTTGGCTCAGGTCAGGATCTCAGGGTCCTGGGATCAATCCCAACTCTCAGGCTCTGCACTCAGTGGGGAGTCTGCACAATCCCTCTGCTCCTCCCCCGCTCAAATAAATAAATAAATAAATCTTTAAAAAAGCAAACTAAAATGAAATAAAATGAACTCGCCATTCGTTCTCTAGGAGCTTGTGCTAATTAATAGAGAAGATGGAGTACTCAGGATTTATTACTTCGGAGAAAACCTTTTATCCTTCTGGTCTCCAATTTATCCATCATTACTGCAAGAAGGCAAATGGCACATGCTCAATTAGTCTCTAAAGATGTGTTCTGCAGAAGGCCTATTTCTATAATAGAATAATAATGGAGATAATGGTAGTGATAGTAGCTAACATTTGTAGCACTCTCGCTCCCTGTGTTTTGACTCATGTTACCTACACAACAGCCTTATGAGTAGCGCTATTATGGTCCCCATTCCACAGATGAGGGAGCTGAGACTTAGCCAAGGTCACAAATACCTAGTATATCCCTAGAGTATTCTGTCCACTAAAGGATACATTGAGAAAAAATAGGGCTGTGCTTGACCTTAACTGCTGGAGCAAGGTCCTCAGACATTCTAATTTTCTCTGCTATTCCATTATGGAGCATTTTTTAAGATTCAAAAGCTTAGGGGCACCTGGGCAGTTCAGTTGGTTAAGTAGCTGACTGGCTCAGGTCAGGATCCTGGGATCAAGCCCTGCTTCCGGCTCCCCACTAAGCAGGGAGCCTACTTCTCCCTCTCCCTTTGCCACTCCCCCTGCTCATGCTCTCTTTCTCTCTCAAATAAATAAAATCTTAAAAAAAAAGAGTCACAAGCTTCCCTAGACCTTTTCCCCATTTGTTTTTGCCAATACATCTTTTGGAAGCACACATTTCCTACGTTTCCTACAGCTGTTGAAAGTTAGACGTGCCTGTGTTAACTGAAAATTTCTCTTTGTCCAATCTAAGTCATGTTTCCCTCTCCACTGATTCACGGTCAGTAGAGTCCTTGTCGCCCCACCCTTCCATGTGGAGCCCATCTCTTCCCAGCTCTCATTTTGTCAATCTAAAGAGGACTCCTCACTTTTAAACCTCTCCCTTTCCTGCAACAGACTCTTTACTCTTAGAACCCTGAACATATCAGTGACCTTCCCGTGAGCCCCTCTGAGTTGCACCAAGCAGGGCAACAATAGCCAGCATTCTAGGAAGAGCCGGACCATGGGTCTGAACAGGACCAAGGTTCCTTGCCATGTTGTTTTTCCACTTCCCTGCTCGGTATTTCATGGACTTTTTGGATGACAACACTTTATTCTCCATCCCCAAACAATGGCCTCTTTGAACCCCATTTTCTCTTCACTACAAAGAGGCAGGAGGCAGGCTGCTAGGCTGCACCATGACCAACTGAAACAACTTATTTCTTGAAGGCAAAAGCCCAATTACAGCATCTGTAAAATAACCAGCATGTACTTTGATCTCCTTCTGACAACTCTGACCGACAGGCTGAAAATACAGAATTAAATGGAAGGAAAATCAGAACTAAATGTACCAGCTATGAATAAACTCAGCTCCTACCTGGATAGTACATGGGAAATTGTAGCCATTCCTTGCCCTTCTCTCTGTTCCAAAATAATGCAAAACAAAAGTACATGGTCACTGAAATCTTTAAACAAATATCACATTTGAGTACAGGGCTTATTGTTAACAACAGTAATCATAATCATGCTTTACATTTATGTAACTCATTGCCATTTGCAAATCACCTTCAAAAAAAAATCAATGCACCTAGTCCTCATATTACCCATGTAGTGTGGGCAATGCAGGATTTATCACCCCATTTCCTAGATGATGAAGCTAAGTCTCAGAGAAGTTAAATGATCTGCCTAGTATCACACAACTGGCGAGTCACAGAACTGGGAACAGAATCTGAGCCTTCTGGATCTGGACCCTAACATGATGATGATAATAGTAAACACTATCAAGCATTTACTATGTTCCTGTGCTAAGCACTTGGCATAAATCATCCCATCCCATCTTTCCAACAGCCCTATGAGGAATGGTAATATAGTCATCCTCATTCTAGAGGTGAGAAAACTGAGGCACAGAGTGTTTAATTAGGTTGCCCAAGGTCTCCCAGTCAGGAAGTGGAGGAACAGGGATTATAATCCGGGCAGCCTGATTTTGGGGACCACGTTGTCACCAAAAGGCTTTTTACACCTATTTATTTGAGAGGACTTAGGTCAAGTTATCTATAATGTGTTAAATTAAGAAATTAAGACTCAGTTCTTTATAGAAAGCATTTTAAATGCTGGCAGATTATTTGGAAGGCATTGTAGGCTTGATTGTACTTTGTAAAATCAAAATATTTATCTCATATCTAAATACCTTACTAAGTATGTGCTTATTGATCCTTTTAGAGTCTATCACAGTAAAGCTTTGAGGCACTGGAATAAGTACTGAGTATTGGGGCAAGAATGATGGGAGATAGTTTTATCACACTCTGATTTCAAATCTATACAGATAAATGGTAGATTTATTATGTGAATGTCAGTCTTGCAAACAGTTGTGTCATTCTTGGGAGAACCAGGCTTTTGTCCAAGATGTCTACAACCAAGAAATTCCATTTGCCATTTATAATCTCCAAGTCACTCCACACTCCCATAGCCCACAAAATGTACCTCAAAAAACTGCCCTGCAGGGAGTTCAGAAAAGCAGAAGATGGTTTTCTTACTGGGTTCTTGTGCAGATGCCAAAGAAAGTAATGTAATTTGACCCTCAATGACCACAATTGAGCTTTGCTTGATGTACACTTGGGTAGAAGCACTATTTTACTTACATCTACTCACTCAGGTATTGAAGGAATCACAGGTAGATTCATTTTGAAAATTACTTACTACAGTTTGGTCCATGGTTATTTCTCCCTCAGAAGTGCTTCTGTATCAAAAGCATAAAAAAAATGGTGCCAAATACATTAGTACAAAAGCTCAGGAGAAAGACAACTGTGAGGAAGAACAAGAATTCCCCCAGCTTGGAATTCAAATACTCAGGCTTTAAGGAGACACTTCAAAAGAGCCTGGTCATTATCTGCATACCAAAATGGTAGTAAGTATTTGACTAAACAACCCCACTTCCAGGAATCTATCCCATAACAGTACAGTAAGGGTGCATACAAATATATGTACAAGAGTGGAAATAACTGAAATGTCCCTCACTAGGTAATTGGATATATACATTGTGGTACACCCATGCAAAAGAATCCCATGCAGTCATTAAAACGAATAAGCTAAATCTGTACATATTGGCCTGAAAAGATGTACATGATGTACTTTAAAGCAAGAAAAGAAGGCTTTTTTTTTTAAAGAAGGCTTTAAAACAATATATGTGGAGTAGAATCCTACCCTCTTAGTAAATATATGGCAACAAATCTAGAGGTATAAACCAGAGTTCTTGGACAGGGTAGGGAAAGGCAGTTCTCTTTGTCATGGACTCCTGGATACTACTCAATTCCTGCCAGTTGCACTGCAATCACCTCTCCAAATTTGTGCCCCAGGCAAGTCTTAGACTAGTCAGCGTTCCTCATTTTATTTATTTATTTACTTTTGCATTCCTCACTTTAAACATTTCAAGTTCCCTTTGGAATTTCTAACTCCTAATGAAAGTGCATTATCGGAAAATAAAGGGTCTTATAAATCTTCACCATTGGCCGTTCCTAACCTTCATCCTTTAAGGCATGATTTTTCCCCTAAAGTCACAGAATCATAGCATTTTAAAGCTAAGAGGGGCATTAAAGGTAACTGAATCCAATTCCACCGTTTCCTCCATTTATTTTCTTCTGTTTTGTTCTCCCACTGGCTTTACACCCTACAGAGATAACAGAAATTTCTTCCATATTCTAAAGAGAATCTATACTCAGAAAGGAAGATGCAACTCAAAATGCAGTCCCTAAATCTCAGAAAAAGACCCAGAATGCCCTCAAACTGCCTTCCTCCCACAATATATGACACTCACATACCTGCTTTTAATTTGAATAACCAGATTAGCAACAGCAAATTCACTGTCCTGAAATATAGAATTCAACTGTAAAAGACAAAACATATCAGTTTTAGTATTTTCCCTCCTCTGTCTTAACCCAGGAAAATTACCTGAGACAATGTCATCATTAAGTTGAATTTATTATTTTGGTTAGTTCAACATTTCCATCTGCTCCAGTCAGTTTTTCAATTTTGGGGCTGGATTGTGTCCCCCGCCAAATTCACACGTTGAGGCCCAAACCCCCTAATGTGATTACTTTTGGAAGTAGGGCCTTTAAAAGAGGCAATCAGGCTAAATATGGTCATAGGGTGGAGCGCTAATCAGATAGGACCCGTGTTCCTATAAGAAGAGGAAGAGACCCCAAGATCTCTCCCCCCTCTCTCTTTCTCTCTCAATCTCTGTGTGTGTGTGTGTGTGTGTGTGTATGGTATGTGAGGACACAATGAGAAAGTGGCCATCTGCAAGCCAAGGAGAGAGATCTCAGGAGAAATCAACCCTGCCAACACCTTGATCTTGAACTACCAACCTTCAGAACTGTGAGAAAAGAAACGTCTGTTGTTTAAGCTCCTCAGTGAATTGTATTGTGTTATGGCAGCCCTAGTGGACAAAAATATACCTGTCTATTTTCAAGCACTTATAATCATGTCATATATACTTGCAAAGAAATGCTGGTGGGGAAAGAGAGGAAACAGACATGACATCACCTGTCTGGGAGGCCACTTAGCTCTAGCTTTTAAAATGTAAAATGCTCCTGTCTTTTGATCTAGCAATTCCAGTTCTGGGTATTTATTCTATAGAAAAACTCAAGTGCCTCCAATATTTATTGCAAGGGTATTATTGTCAGCATTGTTTCCAAATAGAGAAAAAAAATAAAAGCAATCCAGATGTCCACCAATGAATGGCTGGATCTAAAAAAACAAATACTACATTACAATCATCTAGTGAAATCCTCTGTATCTGTTAAAGGATATGAGGTAGGTCAATATTTGCAGCATGAATATGCTCAAAGATATACGATTAGGGCAGCCCCGGTGGCCCAGCGGTTTAGCGCCACCTTCAGCCCAGGGCGTGATTCTGGAGACCTGGGATCGAGTCCCACGTCAGGCTCCCTGCATGGAGTCCACTTCTCCCTCTGCCTGTGTCTCTGCCTCTCTCTCTCTCTCTGTATCTCTCATGAATAAATAAATAAAATCTAAAAAAAAGATATACGGTTAAATGAGAAAAAGCAAGTTGCAGAATAGCATAATTATATGGTTCCAGTTATTTTTGTAAAATAACATACATGAATCAGTGTTATTGCAGGTATAGGAAAAAATCTGAATGAATATAACTCAGACTGTGAAGAGGAGTCAATACAAGGAACAGTATTAGAGAAAACATTTACTTTCTGGGTCTCAGATTTCAGTGTCAAAAATTTTTACAGAAAGTATCTGTAAATTATCAAAAAGAAGTAAAGATAAATAAAACATTTCTTGTGGAGGAGAGAAATAATTTAAAATGCAGGAAAAAAATGCAGGAAACGAACATTTGTAAATACAATAGCATAGACTTTGTTATCACTGTTCTCCTACTTTCTCCAAATAGGAAAATTTGACAAAGGCCCAGAATTTGTGTCAGTGGAGGGAAATGTACAGTTCTAAACAAATTAAAATAATAACATCCCATCAAAGCTTTCAGCATTGGCACTGTGAAAGAGAGACCACATACATCCTTATGGTGTTACTTACAGAGTAGATAAATTTGTGGCAAAAAAATCAAAACCAATTAGCTGTGGAATGTATAATGGGTAGAAGAAAGTAAAGCCTAGTTTTAATCTACTCAGTTCATATTAAATATGTATACATATCATATATATATATATCTTCACATATTTTATATGTACCATAAATATTTAAAAGATTATTTTACCCAATTTTCTGCAAATTCATTTACATCACTGATAATAGGGATCCTTGGCTCTTCATCAAACACAGAGAAGCTCATTTCAATATTGTAGAAGGAAACTGTAATTAAAAATGAGATTAATTTCATTCACTTAGTCCAAGAAACTTAACTTCCATAATTTTGGTCAAAATTTCTTGTCATTTTAAAGAGACTAACAATGAAGTCTCATTCTTAAATTTTGCTTAATTTAACTCCAAGGTCAAGAACCAGCACTTTTGGCTCCATATCCAAAAGCAAAACAGATGTACCATTACATTTTTGCTTTAATTATTTGGGCAGTTTCCTGATTGCTACACAGTTGATGGACATTCTGCAAATCCCCCAAATCCTCAATTTTCATTAGCCAACACATTTCCAGTCCTTTTAATGGTCAAGCTGAACAACATCTCACAAGATCACCCTGAGGAAATATTTATTTCTTCCTGTATCTTTTTTTTCCTGTGCCTTTTTTTCTGCTTCAGGTTTTCTCTCTTTTCCTCTTTCTCTTGTCTATCCTATCAGATTTCAATTTGGGAACGTTAAAAGTTGAAGGTATATCCAGTATTTGAGTGAAATGGAAGCCAAATACTCCCTGGCTATGGATCAGCATTCTAAGCTGGCAAGAAGTGGTGACTGGAGAAGCTGAGGCCTGTATAAGAGGAATTCAAAAAAGGCAGGCTAGAGTATCTCCTGGTGTTTGCTGCTATGCCATATCATTCTCTCCTGGGAGAGAGTGAAGTTCCTGGTCCATGTTCACATTGCCAGAGACAGAGCATCAGGAACAAAATGGATGGAAAGGGTGTTAAGAAATGTCATGTTGAATGAAAAGATATATTTGCATTATATTTCAATAAAGCAAAGCTAAGCAAGAAGGCTAGAGAATTCTGTTTGGACAAGGTATCCACTGGACCCACTGTCTGAAGGAGATAAGAAACATCTGTATCATTTATCCTTTTCTGCCTTCAGAGAACTGGCCGCCTTAGAGAACACATGACCTGTTGTGCATGCATTCTGTTAGTGATTAACTGCACATGTTGTGGAACATACCTGTAGACTTAGTGGCAATAAGTGAAGTTGATGTTTCCATAGATAGAAAAGAAGACGTGGGGTCCAGCCAGGTTGTCTCAGAAGAGGAAGAAAGTAGTGAAGACACAGTTGCTGTAGAAGGATGTGTTACTCCAGTGGATGTGAGTGGAAATGAGGCTGTGGTAGCAGTAAGTGTACTGGCGGTTATATTTGGAAGGGAGTCCAGTGTGGGCTTAGGAAGAACTAAAGTAGGGGATGATGATGCAGGTGAGATTTTACTCCATGCAGATGTTACTGTGGGGCTAGGCAGAAACGTGGAACTCATAGATAGGGTGTGGTCAGTTGTAGGAGGCAACCTACTCATTCTGCTAAAGGGTAGAGGTTGAGACACAGTCCTGGAGTTGGCAGTCACAGTGGTTCTGGAAGATGCCTCAGCGAATTTGGAAGTGTATGTACTGGCATTTGTGATTTTTATAGACATAGGGAGAGAAATTGTGAAGCCAGCAGTGATACTGCCCACTGTAGGTGCAGGAGTGGTTTTGGTGAGTGCCGTGCTTATGGCAGCAAAGGGTAGTGTTGTAAATTTAGTGAATGAGTGCGTTGGTGTAGTGTCAGAAGTCAGAAATGTGGACTTTGACACTTCTACTGTAGGAGTTATGTGAGGACTATTGGATACAGTCACCAGTGGAGGACCCAAAGGAAGCGTAGATAAAATCCAAGCCAGTATGGGTGAACTGGTAGCCTCTGAAAGCATAGATCCTGAAGTGGCGCCAGAAGGATTCAGTGTGAGTCTGGTCCCAGGAGTTACAGATGTAGCTGTCTTCTCAAATGTGTGCTTAATGTCAGCCAACGTGATAGGGATAGATCTTGAAGATATTGATGATGAAGGGCTGTCAGACATCCCCAAGGTAGGAAGACTTCCAGGCATGGAAATTGATTTTGCCATAACATCTTCAGATACAAGACCAGTCTGAGAGGCTGTGAATGTCAACAAAGACCCAGGAACAAGGTATGGAGTCTCTGTTTCCACTTTGTGGGGTGTAGGTATACGAGTAGTGGCAGAAATTGGAAGTTGAGATCCTTTAGCTGTGGGTGTGTCCCAGGTAGTCATAAGCAGAGATTTGGTGTTACTAGATGTGATTCTTGTGCCCAGAACTGGAAATTCAGCCATTTGGGATGTAAGAAGAAGAAAAGTCTCTGGAGTAGAGAACTTGGGTGAAAAAAGAAATGATGTCAAAGAGGGTGGAGTTGCAATGGATGGAGTCCATAGAGGATATGAAACAGGGGTATCCACAGATGTAGCACCTTTTGTTAGTTCAGCTGCTGAAGAATTTTCTGACAAGGAAGTCATCTTTTCTGTATTCAAAGAAAGGTAAGTGGTGGCTTTGACACTTTTTGTGGGTCCAGGAATGCTCTTGGAGCTAGTCAAAGATGGAGAAACCTCAATATTCAACGAAGTATGGAGATTATCTGATGGAGTAGATGAAAGCACACTTTCTAGGGCAGCAGTTCTAGAATAAGTATTTGTGAGAGCAGTTACTATACTACTGCTCACAGGAGATAAGGAGCCATTAGTAGTCCCAGATAATATGCCCAGAGTTGTAGTCTCATCTCTTTGTGACAACTGTTGAGTTGTTGATTGAAATGGTGAAAATGTGGTCTTTGAAATGGAAGAAATAGCTCCAGTGTTCCTAGAACTGAGCAAAGAGGAGGCAGTGGTGCCTATGGATGGAGTCACTATCCCCGCTGTAACAGTGGCTGGAATGGTTTTCACAGAGGGAAAAGTTGACTGTGTCAGAGAGGAAAAGGATGTAGGTGTGATCCTGGAGGACACCTCTGTCATTTCTGAAGTAATGGAAGCAGAGGAAAACAATGTGCTTTTTGAAGTAGGCCCAGGTGCAACATCCAATGTAGATGCTTGTAGGGCCATAGTAGTCCTAGGGGTAGTTGAAGATAGTAACGAAGAGAATGGTCCAACTGTTGTGGACGTGTCAATAGAAACAGCAGGAGGTGAGAAAGCAGAGCCATTAACTGACATTGAAGGCATCTCAGACACAGGCCCAGAAGTGGCTGAGGGACTTTTCAAACAGTCTGGGTGTGCTGTTTTAGAATATTTAGTTATTAGTATTGTGGGAGTGGCAGAAACTCTTTTGGAGCTGACAGCAGTGACGCTAACTGGCAGTGAGGACACCTGGTCAATAAGAGTGGATGTTGCCACAGGGGTTTTCTCAAGAAGTGCTGTAGGTGCATTTGGAGTAGAAAGGACTGTAGTGATCCCATCAGTAAAGACAATTGTAAAATTGGCATGAGAAAGTCCAGTCGTGGAAAGAGACAAGGACTCAGGGGAGGTCTGCGCACTTTCAGAAATGGAAGAGGCAACTGAAGTCATCTTAGTTTGAGTTTTCAGGGAAAGCAAGTATGAAAGAGTTGTGTTGACATTTACAGGATTGGATATTCTGGTTGTCCTGGAAGTTACGGTGTCTACAAATGAGGTATCCTGGTGGTATGAGAAAAGGTGAGTCATAGAGGTGGCACTTACTATCATTTTCTCAGTTCTGGGAGTATATACTGAAAGTGTACTGATGCTTTCTTTTTCAGGAGACAAAAGTGTGGTGATTGTCAGAGCTTGTGAAGGGAGGGCTGTTTTCCCAAGACTGGTAGACATTTCTGGATTGTGAGCATCTACTGAGTGACTTAAGATAGAGGTAGGTATAGTCTGTGTGGTTCCAGAAATGGGAGATGAAGCTGAAATCCTGTCAGGTGAAGTGGCAAGTGGAAACTCTGAAGGTGAATGTGTTTGGTGACTGGAAATTGTTGTGGTCTCAGCAAATCCTGAATGTGTCATTTCCAAGGATGAAGTACTCTGGGAGTCTGAAATAAAAGGATTCTCTGATGGGGACATTTCTGTCACCTCCACAGTTCTAGAGGTGTTTCCCAAGGATATGGTCATCTGCTCTTTGTCAGAAGATAAGGTAGAAACATCAGTCACTAATAGGGTGGCGACCAGTGTGTTTCCAAGACGTGTTGAAGATTGAGAAGTGTGACCATCTACTGTAAGCTTATTGGTAGAGGTGTGTGAGGGCATGGTTTCATCAACAACAGAAGTTTCTATGGTGCTAGTAGCCAAGCTAACAACATCTCCACTGCTGTTGAGAGTGTATGGAAGGCTAAGAGCATGGGTAGAAGTCTCCTCCCTTTGAGACATGGGTTGGGTTGCTACTGGTGTAAACACAGTTGAGATCACATGGGTGGAGGACACAACAGGAATGTTGTCGGGGAGAGATTTAGAGCAGACAAGAGTGGGTGTAAATGGGGTTACTGTGTCAGCCGAAGGGAAGAGAAAGGTGGTCTCAGCCATAGTTGCCACAGGAGCGGGAGGTCTCCACGAGGGGACCGGAGTATCTGTCAGAGAAGGAACTTTTGTGGGTGTCATCCCGACAGAGAACACTGTGGCTTCTGAAGTGGTGTGAATCGAGTGTCTGTGGGTAGGCACGGTATTCCTGGTTGTGGAAGCAGTCTGATCCAACGGTGACACCGATGTTGTGGTCACCGTAGCTGATGGTGCAGGGGTTGTTGAGGAATGGGTAGCTGTATGCTGTGGAGGTGAGACACCAGCAGACAAGGACATGGCTATCATGTCTGTAAGGACAGTGGCAAAACTGGTCCCCACTATCCTTGTGGTAGAAGTTCCCAGGAGTTCAGGGAATGTCTGTGTGCTCCCAAAAATGGGAGATGGATTTGGATCCCCCACAGGTGGAGCCTCTGAAGTCCAATGTGCTGTGTGGGTGTGAGTGGAATTAAAGATTTCTGTGGTTCCATCGTAGGAGCTCTTAGGTGTGGTTGTCATCAATTTTGTAGGAAGCCAGCTTCCTCTCACCTCAGTAGTTGTAGTTTTATTATCCAACAGGGTGGTCAACTTTTCAATGTCAGGAAAAGGGGAAGCGGTGACAGAAGCTGTTACCATTTGCGCAGATTCATCTGTTGCTTCCAGCATTGTTGCAAATGGGGAAAGCTCAGTTGTCACCGCTATAGTTGATTTTCCCTCAAGATAACGGGAAGTTGTTTCTATCCTTATCACAGGATGACTGCACCTTTGTGTTGTTGCAGACTCTGGGACAGGGGCTATTGTCTCTCCAAATGCAACTGTGCCATTTGTCTCTATTACTGTGGTCTCAGAAGCACTCTCTTCAGTAGAAACATTTGGTTCAACGTTAGCAAGGGTAGATATTACACCTACTGGTGGAACAAATGTCTCCCTTGGCGTTGAAGGAAGTTCACTTCCAGCTGCTATGGACAGAGGGGTAGGTTTTAGTTGTAAAGTGGTAAGTTTAAACTCAGGCTGTTGGGTTATAGATGTGGTTCCCAAAACTGTGGAGAAATTAGCATACCACAAAGTAGTCAATTTGGATAGAGGTTTTGCGTATCTGTCTGTAGTAGTGCCTGCAGTAATACCAGCACCAGTGATAGTGGTAGCCTTGCTTTCTGAGGGGGCTTCTGGTGGGATAATAGGAGTGCTAGTAGTGGATGAATGTCCTGTATTAGAAGCGTGGAATGCTGATGTCAACAGGGTCTGGTCTGGCCTGGAAGTCTGTGTAGTTTCAATGGTGGAGAACAGATGAGTACCATCATCAGTTATTGATGTGGGACCAGACTCAGAGGCCTTGAATGTGGAAGCTGATCTGGTGGAATTCAAAGGAAGCATGTTTCCACCACCTGTGGGTATATCCTGGGTATATATTGGCCTAGGTGTTATGGGGGGAAGCAGAGTGTCAGTTGCCATGGGGGCAAGTGTGACCCCAAGAGTCAAGGCTGTATGTATAGTCTCAGCATCAATAACTGGCTGTAAACTCTGAGTTCCAGAGAATGGGGTTGATGTCCTGAAAGAAAGGGCCACAGAAGAGGCCTTTTTTGGTATGGAGGTAGATACTATATCCTCCATCCTGGGTGAAGAGACGTCTTGGAAATTTGTAGATGTCAATTTTGTTTCAGTTGTTCTTAGCACAGGCATCATCTCAATAGGCCTGGTTTGGAGCGTTTTTGAATGAACTGGAGATGCTATTTCCATGTTGGTTGTTGCCAACGTGGATGCTGTCTGATTTCTAGGAAATACCGAACCTTCTGGAGCAACTGTGGAGATGTGCACAGACTCAGGTATGAATGCTGATGCAGTACCAACATGAGTGGTTGTAGCTGAAGTATGTTCCACTGTGGACCTAGGTAATGTTCCAGCAGCTGTAGAGGCAAGAAACTCCTGTCTAGCTGTGGAGATAGAAAGTGCCTCAATACCTGTGGATTTGTGTTTGAGCCAAGATGTTGCAGATATGGATGTCAACTCAGCAGATGAGAATAAAGATGTCTTCATAATGGTCGACTGAGACTCAGTCACTGAAGTTTTGGATATAATTGAATTCTTGCTAAGTCCAGATGTGTATAGAAAATTAGCAGCTGTAGTCGGATGCAAGGTCTCAGTAGCAATGGCTTCAGCCATTTTTGTCGTTCTTGTGCTGTCTGAAGATGGAGGTTTAGTTACTTTCATGAAATTGGTAGTAGTGCCTATGGAGGTACTTTTGGTAGGCGGAGTGATGGCTGCTGAAGTAGACAAAATGTCTGCTGTGAATCTGGTTGTCTCAGTTACAGGTGTTTTTAAAAATTTCGGTGCAGTTATTGCTTCTAGAGGTGGAGATGTTGTGTTGGAATATGATATGGCTGTATAATCAGCTGCAAATACAGGCATGCTTTTAAACATTGTAGAAGAGTATATAGTTTCTTGTGGTTTTAGTCCAGTAACTTGGGATGGAGTTGTCAAATCTATTTGTTGTGAAAGAGTTGTACTCATTTCTTGAATTGTTATATTTTCAGAAACAGCTGGAAAATTAGAAAGTATGTGTTACTTTGGATTTGGCTTTAGAAATCAGAGACAATTCTGTTAGAAAGAGCTCTATAATTTTTTCTCATGTTTTTAAGAGGTGATAAGTATCAGATATAATCAAGCCACTTGATTACTTGGTTTTTCTTAAGATGATTTTCTACTTTCTAAAATCTCAATATGGTTCTCAAAATGCCCTCATTATGTAACAAATAGAAGGACATCCATTTCAAGGGTGCCTGCGTGGCTCAGTTGGTTAAGTGTCCAACTCCTGATTTTGGCTCAGCTCATGCTCTGAATCATGAGATTAAGCCCCACATTGGGCTCTACACTGGGCATGAAGCTTGCTTAGGATTCTCTCTCTCTCTCTCTCTCTCTCTCTCTCTAGCTCTCTCCTATGCCCTTTCCAACCCCACTCGCATGCTTTCTCTCTCTCTCTCTCGGAAAAAAAAAAGAATTTCGTGTACAGGATGGATAGGAATGGGAAGACACTGAGAGCAAGGAGACTTTTTAGGAGGCCGGTAGACTCCTCCTCCTCACCTCACTCCCACCAACTCTGTGCCAGCCCAACTTTCCATCACCTCCATACCTGCACTTGAGCAGTCAAGCACTGCTGGACACAGTCACACATATGTCTATAAATTCATGATCCCCAACCCCAAATAAGCCTTTCATACTGCCCAGCCATCCCACTACTTTTATCTGGTCAATTTTTGCTACTGCTCTCTGCAGTAACTATTTAAAACCTCATTATCGAACTCTGCCCCCACATGTTTATTAAGGAACTGTGCCCCTTACTTCACAGGAAAAACAATTGAAGTTATCAGAAACTTAGCTGTGCTACCACCTCAGTTATCCCTCACCAATAATTATCTCTCTTTTCCCTAAGGGCCTTTCCTTCCTGATTTAAAACATCTTCCAGTCTTTTACAATAAAAAATAAGAGTCCCACATCTCTTCAGGCACGCCCTATCTCCCTCCTTCCCATCACATCCACTGTCTCCACCTTCCTCAGCCCCATTCTTAAACCCACACTAGTCTGGGTTTTGTAATCATTCCACTGCACAGCACGCACTAATGTCACCAGTGGCCTTCATGAGGACATATACTATGGATACTTTTTCAGTCTTTGTCTTACTTGACCTCTCAATAGGCTTTGACAATGTTGACCACTCCATCCTTCTTAAAATAACTCTTTTCATTGATTTCCTCGACATAGCCCACTCTTGGGCTTTCTCCTACTCCTACTCCTCTGGCCACTCTTTTTTTTCCTCTTGGCAGACCCATCCTGTTTAACCCAGTCATTAAATATTAGAGTTCCTCAATGCTTGGTCCCAGAACCTCTTCTCTTCTTACCCTGTGGTTCCTCCACACCCCTCCATATTTGAGTTACACCTGTATGCAGATGAATGTCAATGTTACATCTCTAGACCAGAACTCTTATTCTGAGTTCCACAATTGCTTACTTGACATCTCTTGGATATCTCATTAACTCCTCAAACTCAATATGCCCCAATTTGAACTCATTGTCTTCTCTCCAAACTGGGTCCTCTTTCAGTGCTCTCACTCAGTGAATGGCATCATCACACATTCAATTATGCAAGCCAAAACCCTCTCCCTCAACCTCCTTCCTTTTCTGTCTCACCCGCCATAGCCAACCCATAATTTTGTCCTATGACTCTTATCTCCCAAACAGCTCCTGACTCCATCTGTTTCTCTCCATCTTGATCACTTATTGCCCTCACCAAATCATCATCAGTTTCTTACCTGGATTCTGCAGTAGCCCCCCAAATGAACTCTCTGCCTCTGCTCTTGGCTCCTCTTCCAATCTGTTCCATAATTCAATCAGGATGATCTTTTCAAAATGCAAATTTGATCATGTCACACACACACACACACACACACACACACACAAACTTAGTTCCCTTTAGTGGCCTTCCATTACTCCAGGATAAAAAAAAAATATGTGCTTCTTAGTAGAGCTTATAAAGCTATGAACTGTTTGGTCCCTACCCACCTGTCAGGCCTCACTTTGTGTGAGGTTTCTGCCTTGTTTTTTGGGCTTCAGCCCTCCATCCTCATTTCAGTCCTCTAGTACTTGGCATTCACTTTCTTACCACAAGACCACTACCTACACTGTTACCTGCACTTGAAATGTTCTTCCTGTCCCTTTTCATCTGATTAACTTCTCCTCATCCTTCAGATCTCAGCTCATGGATTGCTTCCTCAGAGAAGCCTGCTACCTTCCTCAGCTTCCATGATTGGGCAAAACCAATGCATTCTAGGCTCTTTGGACACCCCATACCTTTTCTTCATAGTAGTTGTCACAGCTGCAGGTTTACATTGGTGTGTGTTTATTACTGTCTGTCTTCACCACTACACCGGATGCACAGGGATCCCACCTTTCTTTGATAACCAGTGTATCCTTAGTGCCTAGCATAGGGCCTGGCACACAGTAGATGTCCAGTAAATATGTGCAGGCTGACTGAATAAGTGGATGATGAGAGCTTGGAATGAAATAAGAGTAGTGTGGGGATTCCTAAAGGAAGAATTGACAGGTTATGATAACAAAGAAGCTTACAAGATGAAGAAGACAGAGAAATCTCAGAAAATTCAAATTTTGCTCTTGGACAACTGGGAGAATAGCAGTGATACTCATAGGAAATAGGAAAATTAGGAAGGTGGCCTCTCTCAGGAGAAAAACATGCACTTCTGACTTGGATAAGTGGAATTTGGGGTGATAGAACATCCAAGTGAAAATGGTGCAGAGTAAAATTCAAGACTGAGTCATAGTTTTTCTCCAGTGCAGATCACCCAGAATGAAATCATGCGTATTTACCATTGGGAAATTAGCATTTTGAATTTATCCACCCGAGAAGCTTATTACTTAAGATGTAAAAATAATTATGGTGGTAAACAATCTACTAACTTGTTTCACTGTCTTGAGCATTAGAATTACTTTTAATTTGCATATATAGAAATTATGAGATGTATGTAGGATGTTCTTTAGGATTTTGCAGCCATTAGCAAGTGGGATGAATGACACTCAGAAGCCTGCAACTGACTGTACAGATAGAGTTAATGAAAGTCACACATGCATAAAGTCACAACACATGTATGTAAGGGCAAAAGTCAAAGTTATATAAGAAGTACTCCCCCACTGAATTTTACAATATAGTTTCAACAATCAGAGATTCGCATTTTGTTAGGCCTTATCAAGAAACTGCTATATTTCTGCAGCACAAAATTTGTTTCAAGCTTTCTACCTTCAAAACTACAAGTAGAGGGAGAATTGTCAGGATTTTAGTTTCCATTTTTACAGATGGCTTTACACAGCCAACTGGCTTAGCAAACTTGTTAAAGGGTCACTTATGCCACATTTGAGGAGTATGGCATCCCAGAGCCTGAATCACTCTCCAAGAATACAATAATTCCCACTTCTTTACAAAAGATTCATGATGGAACTGCACTTAATTTTTGGAAAACAATAAAATACCAAGTGCCACAAAAGTCCAAGTTATTTTATTTAATACAATATTCAAAGAGCACTATTACAGGAGTCCTAATGAGTAAGTGGTAACTCAGAACACAGAGGTTGGGAGTTAGGTATGGTATTTGTATCTAAAGATGGCTGAGTTGTGGATGTTAATTGTTATTAACATTTCCAGTAACCATCTCAAAAAGAAGCGTAAAACTTAGGAAAGGAGGGACACATGGCTGTCTTAGGGGAGTGTGGGACTCTTGATTTCAGGGTTCTGAGTTCAAGCCCCACATTAGGTGTAGAGATTACTTAAAAATAAAATCTTGGGATCTCTGGGTGGCTCAGCAGTTTGGCAACTGCCTTCAGCCCAGGGCATGATCCTGGAGTCCCAGGATCAAGTCCCACGTCGGGCTCCCTGCATGGAGCCTGCTTCTCCCTCTGCCTGTGTCTCTGCCTCTGTCTCTCTCTGTGTCTCTCATGAGTAAATAAATAAAATCTTTTAAAAAATGAAATAAAATCTTAAGGGGTGCCTGGGTGGCTCAGTTGGTTAAACATTTGACTCTTGGTTTCAGCTCAAGTCATGATTTCAGGGTCATGAGATCCAGCCTCTCATCAGGCTCCACACTCAAGACAGTTTGCTTGAGATTCTCTCCTTCTCCCCTCTCTGTCCCTCCTCCCACTCTCTCTCTCTCTCTGTAAAATAACTAACAACTAACTAACTAACTAAATAAATAAATAAATAAAATCCTTTTTAAAAGCTTAGAAAAGGAAAAATAAATGAGTTGAACAAAATTGCCAAGCAGGTAGTATTTTAAGTACCAAGTATTTCTTAGAAAATAATGCAACTTACATTGCCTCACTTTAACCCAAAGCCTGGATTTCTCTACTTCAGCAAACCTCCTTTTGAATCTTTCAGATGAGAGGTTTTTTCCAGAGGGATTACTGTACCAAGTTTTTCCTCTAACATCTTTATTAACAAAGACTCAAGTCTTTTTTAATCAAAATCACAGAATCATAGAACTAAGTCTTGGAGATTGTATTCAATCCTTTCATTTAGAGACTAGGCCCAGAGAGGTACAGTGTTGACAGGATGAGATTTCCAAAGATAAAACATGTAGAGACAAAAAAAAAAAAAACATGTAGAGACATAAGACAGTGTGTGCCAGTGTTTTATTTTTGATTTTTGATTTTGTTTTTTTATTCATTTTTTTAATTGGAGTTCAATTTGACAACATATAGCATAACACCCAGTGCTCATCCCATCAAGTGCCCCTTTCAGTGCCGGTCACCCAGTCACCCCCACCCCCCGCCCACCTCCCTTTCCACCACCCCTTGTTCGTTTCCCAGAGTTAAGAGTCTCTCATGTTCTGTCTGTGCCAGTGTTTTAATTATCTAGTACCCATAAGTGCATGCCCTCAATTTACACAGAACCACCACAAACCTAGGAGAAAGAAGAGACTCTACCTTAAAAAACAAGGAAAAACAAACTTAGATAATAAAAACCAAGTTCTGCAAGTGC